GTAGAAACTTCACATTTCCCATCTGGTAGAAACTCTGCATTTCCCATATGGTAGAAATCTCTGGCCTCTCTCATTTTAGAAACCTTGAACTAAACTTCCAATCCATTGCATAAATGAAGTCCATGAGGTGGGGGGGGGGGGCACTGTACATGATCTTTTCACTAAAATTCTGTGCAAGGTCATTCAGGCAAACATTGCACAGCAATATGTTAGGGCACATAAATACTGTACACTGTATGGCTTGATTGCTGAAAAGTTGCACAGTGATTACTGTGCAACATTACAGCTTCTATGTGCCACAGTAAAAAAGGCTGTGCAATGTTACACTCATAAAAAAGCATTGCTGGTGTCACACAGTATTCAACTGTACAATGATAGGGCCATTGTTTTACACAAATCTTGCAATTGGGTCATCTCATCTAAACTTGTGCCTTGTAAGATTTGAAAAAAGTGACTTATGCAGGGGACTAAAAATCAAGGATTTTCACTGATTTTGGTTGCTCTTGGATTCCTGAGCTCCAAGTTGGCGCTGTGTTTCCAACCTCCTGAGGCTTGGTTGATGAATTTATCAGGATACATTTATTTTATGGGCTTCCTGCCAGTCAGGAAATGTTACTGATTTTGGTTGCTCTTGGATTCCTGAGCTCCAAGTTGGCACTGTGCTTCCAGCCTCCTGAGGCTTGGTTGATGAATTTATCAGGATACATTTATTTTATGGGCTTCCTGCCAGTCAGGAAATGTAACCAATTTTTTGCTTCCTGTTTTTCAGTGGGTAATTGGGCTGAGGCAGACAAATTTCCTGTCCATCATCCTCTTTGAATTTATCAGGATACATTTATTTTATGGGCTTCCTGCCAGTCAGGAAATGTAACCAATTTTTTGCTTCCTGTTTTTCTCACCCATTAACCCGACTCCGTCTGTTTAAAGGACAGGTAGTAGGAGATCACTACTACACAGTGTCCTTTAGTCATAACATGTTTTTAGTCCCTGAGGAAACACAGGGAGAAAATTGGGGACACAACATGTTAATATTGGGACAAGAAATTCAAAATTTTGATGGAAAAATTTGAAAATTTCATGAAAATTTTCGAAAATTTCGTTGAAAAATTCGTTATAACCAGAGATTCTGTGAAAAAAAATTCGTTAAAACAAGATTTTTATAACACTGTACATAAGGCAAACTGCCGGGACCAAAGAAAAAATTCGTTATACTGAAAAATTCGTTATAACGAGATTCGTTGTAACGGAATTCTACTTATACAATAAAATATCCTTCATTTTCTTTTACTTTAACCCAGGCGCTCGAAACTTGGAACAATAAGGAGCAGATAAAATAAGCATTTTTACAAATCCTGTCCATCCATCAGGAATCAACGCAGAAAGCAGAAAACTGGATAGCAATTAATTTTAGTCTCTGAATTTTAAAAATCAGTTTTGCGCAAATGTAAGAAGTAACATGCAAATCTCACCCCAACAACACGACGACCTTCTTCCGAGTATCCAGTCAGCATTTTCATCAAACGCGACGCTAAGCCAGGGAATACAGAGCAAATCAAGGACCCCAACTGGAAGCTCCACGTTACATCATTCATCCTTGTATCCAGGGATAAAACAACACTGAGAAGTTCAAGTGCTGCCAATCTTGAAAGAAAAGCCGACGAAAATGACTATAAATTATTTAATTAAACCTTTGTTATTCTTGCAAAATCTTACCTGATTTCTCGCACCTTTTCAGTATCAAGAATCTTCGCGATTCCTACAACTGTATATCCTATTTTCGGGAAGTTCTCTCGAGAAAATAGACTCTGGACAAGGTCATTCTTTGCAGCTTCAAGCATCACAGCGAGCGTTTCAAGAACATCGACTTTCACTTCTTCACTGATGGGCTTCACTTCTGCAGAGCAAGGCGTGAAATCCACGGAATAGATGAAATTTTAAACATCACGCACCTAAACCTTCAGGGTTGACACACACAGCCAGCAGAAGAATTTGCTCATATAATGCGCAAAAAGAGCTCGGACGTAGAACATCGGCGTGGGGCTTCCCACGATTGAAAATTATTCTTATGCTAGACGTCAGCTTCAGCTGAAGCTTTTCGTTGCTGGACCTGAAAAAATGAATTAATTCCTTGATTACATATTCGCAGAAACGAAACAAAAAAGCCTGACGTACTCTGAAAACTTCTTCAGAACAGCATGTACTGGATGCACGAGAAATTCCGGGATTTCAGAGATCAACTCTTCATGTAAACATCGCAATAAATTTTCAAAGTCTTCCACATCTTGAACTTCATTTTTGCGCAACAGCGCGATGCACAACGGTTTCAAGCGTTGAAACGCAATTTCTCGCGAAGTTATGTGTTCACACATTCGTTCCACCCTTGAAACGTTCACCATCTTACTAAAAAATTCAAATCGGTACAATTTTGAGGAAAAAATGTTAGAAACATTAAATGCAGACGCTATACTTCACACAAACGTTTCCAAACGATTTTCTTCGATTCACTCCGTGGACAAGGCGACTAATGTCCTCATAAATAAAACGTGAGAAACGTTACGACAGCGAGTTGTGAGAAACGCTAAAACAAGAAATTTCAACACTAGATGTGCTCTGTTCAATTTTAATCTTGTAATTCATGTTTTCTGCAACGACTACAGAGACTTAGAATCCTTCAACGATTTAATACGCAGAAAACATCAGGAAATCTAGGATCTAGGGCATTGCAACCCGAGAACCAGATTTTTGTTAGTGGTTTGACTTGCATTGACTTCACCGCTGTGGTGATACTTAGTCATTTTGTTTTCATTCTTTAGACCTAGCACACATAAAAATCTGTTCAAATATAAGTTTGAGCGATTCAAAGAACCTTCAATGGTTGGCGCTCAAGCTCCCACACGTTTTCAAGTAGATCCTCAGTCTGAGCAGAAATGCGGCACCATTCGACATCGAAACTCATTTCGGCGCATTTGATCTATTTCACAAAATTCAGTGGCCCCAGCGAAAAAAAAAAAAAAACTAATAAAATTTCAGTCAGGAATTGTTGAACCACAGTTTCCATGATAGATCTTGACACTTTTATCACAATAAAAATACTCATCAAATATTTTCGGATACACGGAGCGCCAGAATTCACATAGCACTCGATTCCAACCACAGTCGAGAAAGTGGATTAATTCGGGATGCTCAAATGACATCAAAGCAAGTAAGTCTTGGTCACCCAGATGAGTTCTGTTCCTGACCTCGTACGTGTCCAAAAGTCTGGACACGTTTGCTGGTTCCATTACCCACCTGTACTCTTCGCTTTCTCTCATTTTCTCAACATCGACCAGAATAACTCCAGAATTCACCCCTTGCATTTGCTTGGGGGACGTTGAACCGAACTTTGAATCCGGATGCTTCTTCCGGTAATTGTACAAAATGTGATAATAAACGGGACTCAATTCGGGGGCCAACGCCATCACGGATTTCTCGGAAAAATTCCGGAACTCTGCATGAAGATCGGCGATGTCCGCGACGAATTTCAGATCCACATCGAGCATAATCAACCGAGTAACACCTTGGACGTTGTGAAGGAAAGGTGCGACGACGAATAATTCGTCGTGGTAGTAGGTTCCGGGACGGGCCAGCATTTGCTGAAGACTTCTTGCTTGTTCCAAGTTTGAGCCGAAGAGTGAACGAACAGGTTGCCGTGAAATCTGGAAAAAGCATTAACGGTGACGTCATGCGGAAAGTCAAGAGAATTTCGAGGTACAGTAATAAATTCTCAAATTAAGATCAAAGAGATTTGGGATTACGGTATTTTTTTCGCAACTTGAAAAGAGTACAGAATAGCCTCATTCATGATTTGAATAACCATGTCCTCATGAAAAATTCTCCAATCGTCAGAAATCGGTAATGAACCCAGAAAATTCTAGACATTCATTTTTAAACAGTTCACTACAACCTTGGACTTCGTCAATATATACTCGACGACGACACCAGGAAAAATGTATCGCTCGACCAAGTGTCAAGCGAGCCTTGATAATTTACGCTTACGTACCAATTTACAACGCTAGTGATAATTTACGCTGAATTCACGCATTACTCCAAACAAAATTAACATGATTTTTTTTCTATGAAAGATGGGAGAAAATTCTGTCATCCCGACAACCGCAAATTTTTTTTGAGGAAAAGGAATACATCTGGTTTTTTCTTTATTAGGACTCATATCAAGTGCCCGGAAAATGGGAATAAACTAGTGGCATGATCAGGAAAACGATCATAACCTGTTGAAATTAATAAAATTAGCGCGTCAGTAAAACGATTTTAGTATGTCTCTTTTTAACATCACGATAATAGTAAAGAAATCACAATGATATTTTTCAGCAAAAGCCAAAAAGTATCTGCTTCTTTTCTCTAGGCAGTAAACAGTTTCTGTTCGGATGACGTCCGAAAAATCGTAAGCTCTTTCCCGCTGACACACCTTCCCTAGGTTCGAACTGCATTTTGATTTGTTTATAATCTGCTATATTATTCACGTTTTTTTTCGGGTCGAGTGTCGGGTAAGTTTTATCGGCTGAAATCCAATAATTTATTTTATTGGACATTTATCAAGCGATACAAAACAGAAGTTATTTTCCTTTTCGATTACCTGGACGAAGACATCCGTCCACTTTGCAAGCTCAAATAATGGAAGTTTCAAGATGATCAAAATCTTTTTCTCAAAAGTGACTAACCTCCGGAACGGCGATGCCCAGTTTATCACTAACTGCAGTTATCACACCCACCGCAGCTTCATAGCCGCCGTCTTCACACACAAAAACGTGGAAACGCACAACGACAGATGCTTTCTGGAGCAGCGACTCCAGCATAACACGTAATTTAGCTTTCAAGCTTGTATGCGTGTCCACCCGGCAAAAAAGAAATCCGATGACGACTGGCTCCACTGCCCAGGGTTTAGCAATTTCCGCATTGCAGGACGGCTCATCTGATGAGCACGAATCGTGTGTGCTATGCGACCAGGCAGCGATCAAGATGAGAATGATAACGATCAATCCCAAGCTCATCCTTCTTACTCGTTGAGTCGCTGAAACTCGACTCTTCACGCCTAGCATCAGGCATGCTAGAAATTGATTCTGCAATAGGAGAATTAGGACACCATCAGAGTCTCACTTGAACAGCAACAATAATTTTTGAGATTGCAAGAAAGGCCCCATGAATATGTAGATGTAATTGTCGGAAAAATACGTCGCAACAAACATTCGAAAAACAGCGAATCCTATTCTTCTCTGGCCACGGCCCGATAACACCCATCATCTCCGATATGCAGGCGAAAAATAAAAGGCACACGCAAGTCCTCAATCATTAAATGTTTGCCAATTGTCCCCATGCCGGTCACGTCCATGACCGCCTCGTCCACAACGATTATCACGTTTGCGTCCGCCTTTTCCGCGACAATTCTCGCCTTGCAATGCGCCGAACACCGTCTCCATCAAATCGACGCCATCACCACCACCTCGGTCACGCCTGTCACGCCCACCTCTTCGATTCCAACCACCGCGGCCGCCGTCTTGTCCTCGCTGGCCGCCGAACTGTTGACGGTAATTCTGCTGATTCCTTTGATTGAAGATTCCTATAATGCAAATCGATTTTCATCAGAATTCTAGTAAACTTATGTGAGAGGCCACGAACAATACTGTGGTTTTCAACCGTTGGTAGCCGAAAATCAAAAGCAGTAAAATGATAGTCCGAAAAAAAATGTGAACACATTGTTGACCCCCATTCTTCAACTTGTTTTTTCAAAATAAAGTTGAACGAAGAAAATTCAGTATGGCTCAAATCCAAAAGCTGTTCTTAAGCAACAATTCTCACTCAAATGAAACTATCGGAATTCGAACTTGTTTTTGAAAAATTTACTTTCTGTATTATTTCTAACGTTTTTAACGAGTTTAAAAAGACGTACTGTACACACATTCGCCCACACAGTTATTACAAGGCGCAATTTAGAGCAATACCGACGATAAACCTTCGCGTCTTTCCGGAAAAATATCATAAAGCCTGAATTCGATGAGAAAACATCAAACTCATACAAAAGGCTTCGAGACACACCTGTTTTGGACTCCAAAATACGCTCGTTATATTCAACGAGAAGTCTGACTTTATCAGCAACTTGCAAGGCCAAGCTTTGCAATCGCGAAGGTTCTGTCTTGAGCATCACAAGAGATTGGTTCGGCTCGTCCAGAGACGCCATGAGCTCTTCATTGATGATCATCTTTGATATTATTCCGTGTACGTTCGCTTTTTCCAGTTCAAACATCTCAGCCAGCGTAATCAATGACATCGAGTCGTAAACGTGCGAATAAGTGCATAGATACGTTCGCAAACTCTCCTCTTGGATATTCCCCGTGATCATTTCCCGAACACGATCAGCTTGGTAAAACAAGTCCCATACTTTGGCATTCATTTTCTCATTGATGATGAAATCCCGACACTGCTTCCATTTGCCGTTACGCATCGCGCGTGCGGCAGCTACAACGTGTTCTCGCATGGATTCCGGGGGTCCGATAAACGCACTCGAGTAACTCGAGATTGATGTGCATGTGGAATGGCATTTGCCTCTGCTTCTCGATTTTCTCTTGCTCAGAACTGCGCTCCATTTGCCTCTGCAACAGAAAAACATCATTCATAAGACCCGAAAATATCTTACATATATACAGTATATATGTAAATACCGGGAATATCATATGACTTTTTTTCTCAAAATTGAGGGAGAAAAAAAGGGATACACGACATAGGCGGGGACAGAATTTTCAAAAAATAAAAGTTCAGATTCGTCGGAACTTTAAAAAGAAATTGAAAATTAATTGAATCCAGCTTGAATCCATATTAAAATTTGAATTCTTATTTTTCTCATTCTTGAAATGTTGTAGTTTTTCAGTCAATAAAAATGAAGAGCACGCCTGACTCGGAGATTGAATTGAGAAAAATTGCGGTGCGTGTCTTACTCAACGGCGTATTGTGTATGGTACTCAAGTAAATACGATATACAGTATTCAAATGAAAAATGATCTCCAACCTGCAGTAGAAGGCCTTGAGCTAGCAGTTTCGCTCGCGTGCGCAAACGATCCGTGTTGTCTTTCGCATAGATGAACTTGCAGAGATGATCCATCACTCCCAACGATGTTTCTTTCTTCGGCTGCTCTTCATCCCCTTCATTGTCCAACTGCGGGATTAAGATACCTTCTTATAAAACCGGTTTCGTTTTTAAGGAATTTACGATTCAAATTGACGACCTCTCGCTGGGATGTTAAGATACTTTAGTTTGGAACAATAAGATAAAGATCATGGAGAATTATATGGGACAATGAAAGAGATGGGCATGCATGTTTACTTTACAAGTTGGATTGCAGTTTTGCACTAATAAAACCTATAAAAAATTCTTAAAATGCAAGAAAGAAAATTGAGATAGAAATTTTCAGGTGATGCTTGAAAAATTTTCAGTTTTTTGCAAGTTGAACATTTTTGCCACAGTGCACCGGGAAGAGGGTAAGGCACAGTGACCTCTTCATCATTCTCTCTCTTTCTTTTGATTAAATTCATTTTGGAAATATTTCTGAATCAATAAGTGATACAGTTACAGTATTTTCAAAACAAGAATTTTCTTGCACCACACGTACAATGATGGAAAAACAAAAAGTCGACTTACGGGATCCCGTTCCGTGAACACGGTTGGATCAATTTTGTAATACAAATGCTCTACACGACGCAAATACACTCGGCACAGATCCGACGGAGTCGACTCCCTAGATTCCATATACCTTTGCAGGTGCTCGAAAATGTCACAGACGGATTTTTCATCCTTCAGTCTTTTCACATATTCCGGCCCATGAGCATCGCAATCTTTCAAAAGCTTGTTGAACTCGTCATCCATTCGTTCACAAACTTTCATGATGCAGCCTTGAATTTTGTACGGGGGCTTCTCAAAACTTTCGTTTTCTTTCAAAACATGTTCCGCAACCGTGAAGTCTTCGCAACTGCTCAAATCATTCAATATTTTCCGGACCTTCTTCATCACCCTAAGAAAAGAATAGAACATCGTTTGACATTTATCTCCATAAGTCAGAATGTACAGACGTGAAAACTATTTTTAATTAATAGTTCGACTATCGAATTGGACCCGATGAAAAGAAACGGAAACGTAAGAGGTACAAAATCGGACAGATGTCGCCAATCAATTCGGCAATACTTCGAGAGTCAACGTTTTCTCGGTCGAAAATGACATCGATCTTCTTAGAATTGCCATTCTGAAAACTTAAATTATTAACCAAAAAATACATAAATGAGGCAATTACAGCTGACGTTTCGAAAAAAGTGACGCGAAGTTCGTCTAACGCTTCGTACACACGGACATTTTCAAACGAGGAATAAATAACGAGAACAGACTTCTCCCAATTTTCTGCCGTCATTGATGAAGTTACCGCAGCATCGTAATCGGAGAGGGCGGAAATCATAGCGAAGTCTATTTTTGCTTTCAAGGCCGGACCGAGTTTCTTCGACTCCGATATTGCGCGCAATTGCGTAAGAAGCGCAATATTTTCCAAGCGATCAGTTCTTCGTCCATGAAATGAGTCCACGATTTCAATGAACTTTTCGAGAACGAGAGAGTGGGTAATTTTGACACCCTCGGCGAACATCCCTGGTTGTTCCTAAATTTCAGTAAAGAAGAAAAAGAGCTGTAAATTCCGAAGGTAAAAAAGTAAAGATACAGGATGTACTGCCCTGACTTGCGTCCGATAAAACCTTAAAAGTCTCACTTGAACCGCTGCAATAATTTCTGACATTCAAAGAAAGGCCTTGTGAACAAGAAGATTTAATGTTCGAAAACAGACGTCGAAGAAGAAATAACACAAAAATGTAACAATCAGTGGTACACAAAACACGTCGTCCCGGAAAAGAACTCGAAAAAAAAAAAACGGGTCAACTAACGATTCAAACAAGCTCCCACAAATAACAGCCACTTCCTTTTCCAGCGAAATGCGGTACACTTGAAATCATGACTGGATTTTTACTAAAACATAATCGCACGTATTCAAGCTTCCGATTCGCCACCGGGATTCGCGGTTGGGTCCTCCAGGATTGGTACGATGAGGTTGTCCTTCGACATGAGGGTATATCGAGTGACGTACACGGTGAACCGCTTGCACAAATGCGTTTCATTCTGACAGGAATATTTAATCAATTAAGCCCCGGATGATATTCGCACAAAAGCGTCAATGAAAAGCCTAAATAGTAAAATCAAAAGTAAGCTTATTCTAGACAAGGAATATTTCTTACAAGAATAACTTATAACGATTTAAACGCTTGAAACCCGAATGAAATTTACTTGGTGGTAGACTTTACCTCGAATTCATCGAAAACCGTTCGATGATGGAAATATGCGTGCGAAAAAATCCGGTAAACACGTCGACAGACAGAACCCAGCTTAGAAACCGACGATTCTTTAATGCTGATCCTGGAAAGGTGAAAATTGACTTAACACATGAAACGAACCAGCAAAGACGAAAAAATAACATAATTTTTCTTTTAATATTGAACGGTGAAATTAATGGATTGCAGTTTCAAAAACTAGCTCTTCTACCACATGCAAGAATCGCAAGCGGTTCTACGCCAGATTTTACTCCGTTAATCAGAAATCGGTTGATGGCATCCATATCTCACAGAAACGTTATCATGGGTGCTTCTTTTTCTTTACCTGTCAACATGACGTAAATATCTAAGAACTATACACAGCCCGTATCTATAGTTTGTAGATGCGATGGATTGCATCTGTAAAGAGAAAAAATGCACTATAAATTAAATTTTTTATTTAACCTCATGATTTTGCATATTTCCCGCAAGGTTTGAGTGCTAAGAAGTTGCTACCCTCAACTGCAAAAGTGATGTCTAATTGTCTGACCATATTAGATGTTAAATTATGACTACGAAGAAAATGTTTGGACGAGGAGCTATTTTCTGACCCCGCAAAAAAACGAAGAAAATGTTCGGACGAGGAGCTCTTTTCTGACCCCGCAAAAAACTAACACCAATTAACTAATCATAACTTGAATCAAAAGCCACCCCGCTTTTGTTGTCTGAAAATAAGTTTTGCTAACGTCGACATAATTGAAAATGATAAAAACATTCACGATCGCAATAAAGTTATTGAAAATCAAGAAACTCGACAGGATGCATAAAAAAGCAATCACAATTTACCTGCTGGGGAAGTACTTATTGCTATTCAATAAGCACGCTGCGCCATCTAGCGTGTGCCGAGTATAATCAATCGCAGGGCACTCTTTAGGGGTTTTGTGCGCAGCACAAAGGAAGATCCACTGTTCCGTAGCCGTCATCTGACTGCACGTTTGCGGATTGCATTCTTTCTGAAGCCGAACCGCGAGTCCGTTTAGCTCCATACAAAATTGCCGCAAGTGCTCATACTTCCAAACACCTTCATCCAGGTTTTCCGGGGAACGTAGGATAATTTCAATATTTGACGCGTCAGATCGGATCGTTTGCTGAATGAACTGCTGGACAGCCAAAGTGCTGTCCATTTCTTCGAATGGTTCAGGTGGCCATTTGCACCATTCCTTTGTATCAAGAGAAACGGTCCAATTTTCTCCCAACAGGCGTTATTTCAAAAATATCTTTACTCACCGCATTTGTGGTTCCGGGCCTATTTCGTCTCACGACTGGCCCGCCGGCAGCCATCCGTTTTTGAACGACACAATCACGCTGCAGAGCCTTTTTACTTCATTAAAAAAACATACTCTGCTTCTGAAGACTAAAAACAATTCATCGAGATTATCAGAAGTCCTTTGTGCTTTACCCCAAACATATAAAAAAAAGAAGATTCCATCTGACGCCACTGCATTTGCGAAATTTCTCGATCGCGGCAGAGCGAACAAGCCGAAGAACTCGAACAGGAATATTTGCCGTCGTCCAGATCACTTTAGTGTGAAGGGCAAACATTTACAAATGAACCTATCACCACCAGATGAACCGAGACAAATGACAGGAATCTGAGAAACCAACACGAAGCAAATGAGAAAGAGACAAAAACCAAAAACCCGGTGAAATGCCGGATTACAAGTTGAATAGACGTCTGAAGAATGAGAAGAACACACCAATCCTGATCTGGACACGGTTCGCCAATATCCAATCATCGACACTGAGCAGGCGCGACATGCAATAAGAAAAACACATCTTCCCTCAGTCGCGATCTCTTCGATAATTATCCCTATGCTGGTCACGTCCGTGTCCGCCTCGTCCACGACGATTATCGCGGCCACCGTCTCTATCCCGATGGTCTCCCCTGTCACCGCCATCACCACCACCTCGGTCACCCCGATCACCCCTGTCACGCCCACCTCTTCGATTCCACCCACCGCGGCCGCCGTCTTGTCCTCGCTGGCCGCCGAACTGTTGACGGTAATTCTGCTGATTCCTTTGGGTGAAGATTCCTATAATGCAAATCGATTTTCATCAGAACTCTCGTAGACTTCTGTGAGACGCAACGAACAATACTGTGGTTTTGAACCGGTGGTAGCCAAAAATCAAAGGCAGTAAAATGCTAGTCCGAAAAAAAAATGTGAACACATTGTTGACCCCCATTCTTAAACTTATTTTTTCAAAAAAAAGTGAAACGAAGAAAATTCAGCACGGCTCAAATCCAAGAGCTGTTTTTAAGCAACAATTCTCACTCAAATGAAACTATCGGAATTCGAACTTGTTTTTGAAAAATTTACTTTCTGTATTATTTCTAACGTTTTTAACGAGTTTAAAAAGACGTACTGTACACACATTCGCCCACACAGTTATTACGAGGCGCAATTTAGAGCAATACCGGCGATAAACCTCCGCGTCTTTCCGGAAAAATATCATAAAGCCTGAATTCGATGAGAAAACATCAAACTCATACAAAAGGCTTCGAGACACACCTGTTTTGGACTCCAAAATACGCTCGTTATATTCAACGAGTAGTCCGACTTTATCAGCAACTTGCAAGGCCAAGCTTTGCAATCGCGAAGGTTCTGTCTTGTGCATCACAAGAGATTGGCTCGGCTCGTCCAGAGATGCCATGAGCTCTTCATTGATGATCATCTTTGATATTATTCCGTGCACGTTCGCTTTTTCCAGTTCAAACATCTCAGCCAGCGTAATCAATGACATCGAGTCGTAAACGTGCGAATAAGTGAATAGATACGTTCGCAAACTCTCCTCTTGGATCTTCCCCGTGAGCATTTCCCGAACACGATCAGCTTGGTAGTTGTTCAGGGTATGAAACCGTAAGTAAAAGAGTAACTACTACTTTAGGGCTGTGACGAAGGTAAACGGCAATGCGTAGCGCGCACGCCGTCGATGTTGCACAAGAGCGTACCTAAGGCCCCCAGGCTCGACAGCTTGACGCGCACTGACTTTCAGTTGGTGGTGGAAGCTTTTGGAAATTAGTCGACGACGCGCGTTGAATTCATGAGCGGCCATGTAAGGAATTTCCATCAACATAGCCGATACCAAATAAACGCACTCGAGTAACTCGAGATTGATGTGCATGTGGAATGGCATTTGCCTCTGCTTCTCGATTTTCTCTTGCTCAGAACTGCGCTCCATTTGCCTCTGCAACAGAAAAACATCATTCATAAGACCAGAAAATACCGTACATATACACAGTGTATACGTAAATACCGGGTATATCATATGACTTTTTTTCTCAAAATTGAGGGAGAAAAAAAGGGGTACGCGACATAGGCGGGGACAGAATTTTCAAAAAATAAAAGTTCAGATTCGTAAGAACTTTGAAGAAAAATTGAAAATTAATTGAATCCAGCTTGAATTCATATTAAAATTTGAATTCTTATTTTTCTCATTCTTGAAATGTTGTAGTTTTCCAGTAAATAAAAATGAAGAGCACGCCTTACTAGAAGATTGAATGAGAAAAATTGCGGTGCGTGTCTTACTCAACGGCGTATTGTGTATGGTACTCAAGTAAATACGATATACAGTATTCAAACGAAAAATGATCTCCAACCTGCAGTAGAAGGCCTTGAGCTAGCAGTTTTGAGAAAAATTGCGGTGCGTGTCTTACTCAACGGCGTATTGTGTATGGTACTCAAGTAAATACGATATACAGTATTCAAATGAAAAATGATCTCCAACCTGCAGTAGAAGGCCTTGAGCTAGCAGTTCCTTGGCGCGACCCCCGGACTGAATATCCAGAAGCGCGTCGTGAGCGTCCTTGATTTTAGAATGCCTGAACGAGCACAAGCCGACCTGAACCATCGTTCTGTTATACAATATCTGCGTCGGGGGATCGGAGTGCTGAATTGTGTCTTGCAAGTGCGACATGAGCATCAAATCGCGAGCTTCGTACCAATTGTCATGCAACGCATGATGATAAATGTGACACAAAATCGCTCGCGTGCGCAAACGATCCGTGTTGTCTTTCGCATAGATGAACTTGCAGAGATGATCCATCACTCCCAACGATGTTTCTTTCTTCGGCTGCTCTTCATCCCCTTCATTGTCCAACTGCGGGATTTCGCTCGCGTGCGCAAACGATCCGTGTTGTCTTTCGCATAGATGAACTTGCAGAGATGATCCATCACTCCCAACGATGTTTCTTTCTTCGGCTGCTCTTCCTCCCCTTCATTGTCCAACTGCGGGATTTAGATACCTTCTTATAAAACCAGTTTATTTTTTAAGGAAATTACGATTCAAATTGACGACCTCTCGCTAGGATGTTTAGATACTCTAGTTTAGGACAATAAGATAAAGATAATGAAGGATCACATGGGACAGGGAAAGATATAGGTTCTAGCAACCCTCCATAATGTGGATGTTCACTTTACAAGTTGGATTGCAGTTTTGCAATATTAAACCCTCTAATCATAACTTCTCCAAATACAAGAAAGAGACTTGAGATAGAAATTTTCAGGTGATGCTTGAAAAATTTTAACTTTTTTACAAGTTGAACATTTTTGCCACAGTGCACCAGGAAGAGGGTAAGGCAGTGACCTCTTCATCATTCTCACTCTTTCTTTTGATTAAATTCATTCTGGAAAAATTTCTGAATCAATAAGTGATACAGTTACAGTATTTTCAAAACAAGAATTTTCTTGCATCCCACGTACAATGATGGAAAAACAAAAAGTCGACTTACGGGATCCCGTTCCGTGAACACGGTTGGATCAAATTTGTAGTACAAATGCTCCACACGACGCAAATACACTCGGCACAGATCCGATGGAGTCGACTCCCTAGATTCCATATACCTTTGCAGGTGCTCGAAAATGTCACAGACGGATTTTTCATCCTTCAGTCTTTTCACATATTCCGGCCCATGAGCATCGCAATCTTTCAAAAGCTTGTTGAACTCGTCATCCATTCGTTCACAAACTGTCATGATGCAGCCTCGAATTTTGTATGGGGTCTTCTCAAAACTTTCGTTTTCTTCCAAAATGTGTTCCCCAACCGTCAAGTCTTCGCAACTACTCAAATCACTCAAGATTTCACGGATCTTCTTCAGTACCCTGAGAAAAGGAACAAAAATCGTTGAAAACCACTGCGTGATAGCTAGTGCCGATGATACATTTACATTTAGAATTCAAAAATTGGGTGTGTTCAGGTGAAAATAAATTGCTTCAAGTACGATTAGACAAAATCCCCCTCTCCTTCAGGTTTACTTCGACAGATCCTATTTTGGGCATGACATTTCGTGTATTAAAAATATTTTTCTCTTGCCCATAACTTGAACATGCTTGAAGAACATATAAATGATATCTATATAATACCCGTATTTACTCAAGTACCACGCGGACCTTTTTTCTTGAATTTCAGAAGAAAAAAGGGGTGCGCGTCATAAGCGGGTACAAAATTTTCAAGAAGTTTTAGGAAGTTCTACGTGCATCATACTTAATCACAATGGAGAAATTTGGAAAAAAAAGTGACAAGAAAACTTTTTTGTACTGAAAAAGTTCAAAATTGGTCAGATTTTTGTTAAATTCATGTCTAAAGTAAAAAAAATTTTCTATTTTCGAAATTTTGTGGTTTTCGATTTACTAAAAAATTGGGGTGCGAGTCATACTCGGGGATAAGATTTTGACAAAATTTCCAACTGAAAAAACCCTGCGCGCCTTACTCGAGGGCGCGTGGTACTCGAGTAAATACGGTAATATGTATTATAATAATGTCTTTCATAAATTTTGAATAATCTTGGTAATATTGAGATATCTCAAGCACCTCTCACATACTAATCTTTTAAAGTGATGAATAAAAATCTCAGAATCTGAAATGCAGAAAGAACGAACTTTTCCCAATATTCTTCCTTCATCGCTGAAGTGGCTGCAGCATTGTAATCGAAGAGGGCGGAAATGATGGCGAAGTCTATTTTCGCTTTCATTGCAGGACCGAGTTCCTTTGATTCCGAGATTGCGCGCAGCTCGGTGAGAAGCGCAACCTGTTCCTGACGATCAGTTCCCTTTTTACCTCGTGCAGCCACGATTTCAATCAATTTCTTAAGAACGAGAGCGTGGGTGATTTCGGCATCCTTGGCGAACATTTTCGGTTTTTCCTACATGTCATCAAACAAACAAAAAAGAAATGTATATCCCGAAGGTAATCGAAGCTACGGAAGAATTACTCACTGCACTAATAGCTCCTCCACCCTTGACCTGAGTCCAGCCCTCATCCATATCTTCGTCTTCTTCATCCCGTTTCACGCGTTTCGCACGTTCCTTCTCTTGCTTCTTTCGTTCACGCTTCTGTTTTTTATCCTCTTCCTCTTTCTGAGTGTTTTTCTTCAGGAAGCGGTCAACCATAGATTCGTATTTGCCTTCATCATCTGAGCTGGAGTCAGTTTCCGACGAATCAGACCCCCAATCAACTGAGTCTTCGTCATCATCCTCTTCTTCATCATCACTCGTGCGTTGTTTCTCCGTCCTACAATAAATATTTCATAAGACTACAAAATTCCAAGCACAAAACGAGCCGCACATACGTTTTTTTTCTTCAACCAATTCATTGGGAAGTACGTCCGGACATTGCATGAGGTGAAATTGAAATGTGCAAGAAACGTTTATACTCATTTTAAATTTTTGTTAGTACAGTACTACAATTTTCACGAAGCTGGATTCGAATAACCCTTTTTTTCGGAGCCTCCGGTTCCGGCAAAACTAAAAATCTAAATTCTTTACTCTCATGAGTAAACATAGATCCCTAATGCCTACCATTGGGAAAACTTCCTGAAAATAGGGTTTAATTTCCAATTAGGGCTTTTATATCACGACGCTCGCGATATTTTATGAGAATGGTTTTCCTCTCGAGGGACCCGGTAAAAAAAAATATAGTGGAAGGCAGTATGCAATTCTAAACATGAGTAGATCATAGAAACCGAAAAAGTAAAAGGAATGCCCACCGTTTGCTACCGCTGGTTATATCATCTTTTCCGCTGCTGATCCCGTCGTGAAGAAAGCTTCCTCTGCTCAGTGCTTCGGAGCCTTGGTTACCATCTTCTGCGTCCGAGTCTTTTTCGACGTCGGCCTCAGCATCATCTTCGACAGCAACCTCTTCGGTGTCCGCACGCAATGCAAGGATTTCGTCTTCGAAATCTTTATTGTACTTCCGGATCTTTTGACGGAGAGTTACCAAAGCTTTGGTATTTGTTTTGGAAAGAGATTTTCTGAAATTGCAAGTAAAAAATTAATTAAGTAGTTTAAAATACATTTTTATTCGAACAAAAGACTTCAAGCGGGGGAAAAAGGCAACACTTTTCCAAAGTGTTCCCTTGAAAGTGGTCCAAAGAAAGTGTGGGGCAACCTTTTACATCATTTAAAAAAGGAAAACCTGGTCTACAGCTCAACCGAAAAGTTCAATAAGCATACCGTATTAGGACACATGGGCAATATTACAGCTATGTTCAAATTGACCTTCCGAAAAATTTATTTACAGTATGTCAATCAAGAGGACCACAGTAGACAGAAAACCACGAACTTGAAAATACACTACCGTATAAAATAAAATGATGCAGATTTCTGAAAAATTCAATGCTCAAATACAGAAACTTTAAAATTATCAAGGATCTAAGATTAAAAGGAGCCGATATTTGTATTCACATTGATCAACTAAATCATTTTATTGACGAAAAAACCGTATTGATCAGAGCACAATTTTGAAGAGACCCTCGAATGAAACCTTAACAGCAACATTCCGATTTCTGTCTGGTAATAGAAAAAGTTCACGTACTTATCCTTCCAAGTCGCATTCACGCAATCTTCTATATCGATGAGGCATCGAAGATAGAACTTCGGCTTAGATGTGGATTCTTCTTTTATCATGATTGGTAACGCCTTCGTATAAGCTTTCGTCAATTCTTCAAATCCAGTCTGCAAACTACTAATATCTCCAATTTTCTTGTAGTTCTTGATTTGTCGAATGATGTTTGACAATTCCTCATAGCGTTTATCCTTAGCCGAACGCACAACCCGTTTCACGTCTTCTTCCTCGTCGCTGAACTGGAATAAATCGAACAAAACATCGCAATAAATTGATATTCATTTCGTACTGTGATGAATATCTACTTACAGCGTACGCAGGCGCCAAATCAGGCTTCTTGGGGATAATGTCCTCCCCATTTTCAGAGCTATCACTCTCGGTATCCGAACCGCCAGTCGCGAAGAATCGACTCATCGCGCTCACTTCCAAATAATTTCTCTACAGGTTAACGTGGCCACCCTCTGTCGTCCTTGACTCAGATCAATAAAGTGGAAAAAAAAAGAAAGAACTGCGCGATGAATCCCGGTATTAAGATCACATTTTTCCCCCCTACACCGAAGCACCACGAGAACGCGGTCATCAAATGATTGCCCTAAAATAATCACTCTTCTTCACCAAGTAGATGCCAACGCGTAACCAAGATTGCGCTAGTCATTCTAGTGTTCGCCGCCAATTAAAAAGAAAGGCCTCCACATTCTCTGACCCGGATTTCGCGAGGAACAATAAAAGCCTACCTATAGATGATATAAAACCCTACGTCAACTTTCATGAAACCCAAAGCTCCTTGAATCGTTCCAGTTCCACGCATCGGAGAAAATGAAAAGCATCAAATCATGACAAAGCGAAAATTGGTTTCTTCGGAATCACGGACAATCGACATTTCACTGCCATCGTTCAGCTGAGATGAAAAATGAGGGATGCTTCGCAGACGCCAATCGACAGTTGGTTGACTGCCCTGCTCACGCGAGGTCCAACAAATATTCTGACTGAAATTACACAGTGTTGGCAATTAAAAAAAAAAGCTGAAAAATCGTGCAACTGAAGATAGCTAACATGAATTCCGGATTTTTACGAAGAAAAACGTCCCTGAAATTTTTTTTTCAAACTGGATCAAATATTCTACAGTAGTTGTAAAGCCTTCAGAAGCATGAAAAATAAATTCACGATCACTTCTGTCATTCTGTGGCGCCTGAAGTTTTTCGTAGGGGACTGAATATTGTGCGGTGGTCTTGGAAAGTTATGTACTACATTTAACTACAAACAAATTTTGAAGTTTTAGGCAATAAGATAAGAAACGAAAGGGTCTGAAATCTCTCACATGAACTGACAAACCACTGCATAATACTAAATCATTGAGGGGATTTTTATCATACTTTCAATTTATTGTGGAGTCGAATACTAGTCCATTAATGTGGCCATTAGTATTTCGAAGAACGAATAGATTTTTTTCCACACATCGAGGATTTCCGCAGACCGATTCTTCAAAGGCTGAGAATTTCTGCTAGCAGTTTTCTTTCGACTCAAGTTCGTACGAATTTCCCAACACGATGTTAGTAGCCTGTGTGGCATCCAAGTGTCCCACCAAGCAGCCAGATGTGCCTAAAGCTAAAATACTGTGTAGCCTGAAGGCAAAAGTGTCGCGAACATTTCGTAAAAAATTGAAGAAATACCAGGCGATTCTTTCTGGAAACTCTCGAAAAATTAGAATGCACAGTTGTCATTACCAATTTCATTCAATGTTTGATATTTTTCATAGATATTTTTTCCCTGAAAAGCCATGATGCGCTTGCTGATCTCAGTTCTGTGCACGTTCGTATTGATCGCGGAAGTCTCGTGTTCGCTTCGATTCGGTCGTTCAAGCTCTTCAAAGCTGCTCAACGCATTCCGTGGAACATTCGAGCAACAAGGTCAAACGGACGACAGCAGCTCAGTTTCCATATCAGTTTCCCACTACCTTCCAAATTTTGGCAAAAACCCGTTCGTAGCCTACTATTGCAACTTCCTCACGTGCTGCGTTTTTTCGCGGAGCTCGGCCCTCGGCTGTTGTGTCTTCTTGAGCATCCGCGACTCGAGACACAATTCTTGCTGTGAATGCGCCGCCTATCCCGGTCGCACGGATGCAGTTCAAATTCCGGACGACATTGTTATTTGATCGTTGTTTTAAAACCGAAGAAAATAAATTATATTGGTGCCTCGATCAAAGAACTTGATCTGCTCAAAAGGTAAGTTGTTAGAAACGTGTAAAAACCAAATAACGTAAAACTATACAGGATGGTTGATTGGTTCGAGAACCCAAAAAAGTAAATCAGCCAAGTATCGTTATGCGGTAGAGATTGCTAATCCACAACATTTTAAAGAATTTTCACTCATGAATTTTTGGATAGTCCACTAATAATATATATGGTAGAGTAAGGTAGACGATTAAAACTACATGAACAATTCGCAGAAACGCAGAAAAACACTGAACACAAAGAAATGCTAAACGAACTTAAAACCCTTTGAAAAATCATGCTAACACACACGCTTCCAAGAGAGACCTCTGTTTTTGAAAGGATTATTTACGTGCAGTCCATGAACCGAAAACAATCCGAAGCAATTAGTTGCAGACCGGTTCCAATATCCAGGGTACCACCGTGATATATTGTGGCAAGGTTTTTTCAAGGTCATTGGACATTTCAACCAATACCAGAAAATTCATCGGACGTATAGAACGGTTTCACAGAGCACGACAATAATGTTCCATCTCAGGTAAGGTCACATTGAAAACTTTTCTGAACAAGGTCAAAGAGAATAGTTGAACTGAACCAACATGAACGAAATTTTTGGCGTTCTTTGATTATCACTAGACATTATTTTCGTGCGGTTTCGTGCTAGCGATGTTTTTCACTTTAATGCTTTCGTTGATTTTATGGGGACCACATTTCGCCTTGGAAATCGATACCTTTTCTCATCACAAGCTAGACATAGCTTGAACGATGAAAGTTGAATAAATGTTTCGTAGAGCAGATTCTGACGATCGAAGTCCACAAATGCCTCCGGCCTTATGAAAACCAATACATTTGATAAGTAACGCACGTGGGATTACGCGGAAATCTTCACAGAAGCAATAACAACAACGCGGCACAAAGCTAGTTTTTCCTCACAAACATCTGCACCCTTCACACTCTCCTGCAAAAGACAAAAAATATTTGCCATGAATTCACCGAATAAATAAAGCATGAAAATTAAGAAAAATCCAGCTCACTATCAACATCACTCATAAAACAAAGATTATTTTTCCCGCAACAATCCTTCTCCGCTCAAACCGGAAATAAAACTGGTCTCGTTCGCAAAATACGACGGATTTCAACGCCACGCCGCGAATTATCACCATCGCTCGACACGGCGAAGAGAAAAAAAAAGACAAGATTTTATCGCGAAAGCTTCCTCGACGGGAATGGAGATTTTTGCCAAGCATAACAGGACAGCCCATCAGAAATAAAAAAGCAATCTTCCGACCGTAAGAAAGACAAGCGGAGATGTGCAGAAAATATCTTCGTATCATCCTCCGCGCTTGATATCCGTTGGTCGCACCCAAACCGTGCGCCGACTAAAGGCACGGCTATTTAATTTAGCATCCTTCACTTCCAGCTTTCTCAAACGAGTCCATGTCGCTGGAAAACCGCCCGAAATCTCCACTACTTCTACAGGTGTCTTTTTTTCTAGCTGACATACCTTTGGCGCAGCGAACCCTAAAAAAATTATAAGCTCTGCACTGGAGAACAGTAAAACCTCAGCTAACCCACAAGCTCCACTAATCTCCCTAACATAATATCCATGCAGATATTGACAATTAACGAGAATACGATGAGACATCTTTTCATCAAACACCCTGGAACGTCTGGCCGAAAAAGCCTTTTACCAACGGCGAGACGAAATACGCTTGGTTCAACTATTTTCTCGTGCCGAAAGGAATACTCTGACAATAGATTAGCGGCAAAGAATTTCTTCGCTAAAGGCTAACATCACTCACAGTTGTGCTCTCAGTTCGATTCACATCGCTTCATTATTTACTATTCCCGACAAATCCTTCGAATGAAATTGAAAACTTTCGCAACGAATGAAGCACAATTAGGAAAAAACCCAACGACAATGGTAGGTACGCTGCACGGAAGTCAGCCCAATATTCATAACAGACGATCATTTCAGCTCTAACATGCGCGAATTGACGTTATTTTTATCCGAAATTTCAATACCTCTTACAAGGCGAAAAACTCTAATATCCTGCAATATTTTTCTGAACCAAGTACACTTTTTCTATGCACGGTTCATCGATGCCCCGGGCAACAAAGCGCAAGTTTCCAAAATATGCACAAATTGGGAGTCAATTTTCTTGCTCGCCATTTCGAAGACATGCAGTAATGTAATCCGTCACGAGCAGCGAACTTCAGTAAATAAAAAAAATTTTGGCATTAGGACATGAACACCGCGAACATATTTATAATAAGTGATAATTCATTTTACTTTATTTTTTCCCCAACCAAATGCGATACTCTTCGGCTTTTTCTGAGACGTTACCTTATTGTTCATTCGATTAAGCAAGCTTAGAGAAGAAAATTGGTCCCAACATTTGCGCAGGACTTTTCTTTCTTTTTTTTTTCGTATAGATCTGAAGTACACAGAAGTGTACATTACGAACGCGAGAATGCAAGGCAGCGGATGCATCAATAAGCAGCATAAGATGAAGCGCGAAATACAACCTCTTCAGCTACTTGATGACACAGGCACGCTGGACACACCGTTCACCACGTCAGCATCACCTGACGATCCAGCGGGGTTCAGAGATTGCAGACAGTTCCTAATCAACTGACAGTGCGCACGAGAATGCTTCAACTCAAGATCAGCCAAATCGACCAAGTGCTTCTTGAAGGCCGAAACGCGGCGGCGACGGAATTCAGCCAGCTCCTCTCGCGCCTTCGACGTTATTTCTTCGAATGCTGCTTTCGCCTCTTGCTGGGCCAGTTCGGCCATTTGTACGTCACGATTCCGCGATCGAGCCTTGTCTAAATTCCGATTGGCGGTTTCGAATTCGTACAAGCAGCGGAGACGCCTGTACAGTAATTTCTTGGCGGCGTCCGATTCGCGCTGGTAATAGTGCAATGGATCGGCCAGCTTCAGATCTTCATCCGACGCAACTCTACCCTCGATTTTCCGGCTTTTTTCGAAATACTCCGCAGCAAGGTTGAGTATGTGTTGTAGATCGGTGTACTCTACCGTTGACAGCTGCGCCAAACCACCAGATACCTAGAAAAACGAGATAACCAGAAGGAGAGTCAAACAATGAAACACTTTCATTTATCGAAGCACAAGATCGACCCGGGAAAAGTGCAAATTTTGTATAATTTCAACAGAACGTCATCATAGTTGCGAAAGTTCAGATTTTATCTTGACTATGGTTGGAGGAAAGATGCGACTGGAACCTATAAACAGGTTCATGCTGGAAAATTTTCCTGTCGGCATGGGATGAATTATCCACAAGAAATTTCCCGGATTATATCAAGAAAATTTTCAAGCTGCTATTGAATTTAGTAGAAAAAAATACTGGACACTTAATCCACCAATGAAGTTTACTATAAAACACGGTCAGAATTCTGGGAATTCAGCGTCAAATATTAAGAATGAATCATGGTAAATATTTTCTCACGGTTTATTTTTAAATAATATTTGAACAAACTCAGCCCGAGTCTTCCAATTAGATTCCACAAGACGGACAGTAGGATGACTTGAATTCGTCGTTTTTCCAACGCAGTTAGCCTTAACCGTTCAGTTTACATCCTCGTACGAAATAATTGAACTTTTTCCTGGTCGGTTCTGTGCGACAAACTTGGAAACAATTTCGTTTTACTTTTATACAGGAATCGGCGACGTGCTTATGGGTCTTGGACATCTTCTCCCCCTTGCTAGCGGCATCCTTGACGAAAGTGTGATAATCCGTAAGGAATGCTCGTTCCTTCGTGAGGTCTTCATCGGTGTCCCGTTGCACGGTGGATGCCAAAATCACTTCGTCCGTCGATCGACCAAAACTCTTCAATAACCCCTCAATTCGCTCTTTTTTGTTCTTTGTTCTGACGCTAAGGTCTTGGTCATACTCTAAAAAAACACGAAAATTCGCATCTCCCCGAAACACGGCATGTGACGCCAGCCTGCGAAGGAAGACCTCATGCAAGGCAACGGTTCGCTTGAAGGTTGCCAAATATTCGGCTTCGAGTTCCGCTTTCATCTTCGCAAATTCGTCACGGGTTAAAGAACCTTCAGCTTCTCCAAGCCTGTAAAAATAAATAGAATAGTTAAATTTAAATTGTTCAATTCAGACAGCGTGCTTCACGAATATTTAAAAAAAATATTACGAAAGCTGCTCGATTTTCAATTAGTACCGGCGAAATTGGATGAGCTATTCAGTAACTTTCTCTGCAATGCACGATGTTTCCGACTCTACTTTGTATTAAATATATGCTTCTATACCTAAGTTAAGTTTCGTTTTGAGCTGTGTAAAACTGCTCAAGCATAGTTGGGGTTATTCCAAACCGATTAGTAGTGAGGTTGTTGATTCCGGAAATTTCTAAAATTTCGCACAGAGCAGTCGGGCGTTGCGGTGATCGCAGTCTAAATTTTAACATAGCTCTCGACAAGATCAAAATCGAACTAACTTAAATAGCTACCACATCTCCGGTTCTTAAAGAATTACAGAGTATTAAATGTATAGTATTACTAAAATTTTTGGAAGACCTTATCAAATTTTTCATCGCAACTCGAAAGGAATAATTTTCTCATCGCGAAAACTGAAGTTGAGATTTCTATAATTTTACGACCAATGAGCAGAAAGTTGCTTCAATTATGCTGATAAATAATGCGACAGAAATCTCACGCCATCTAAACCGAACTATTAAAAACCAGAACCACTTATTTTCAAAGATAAATAAAATTTGTTCTTACCTCTGCAATTTCTCTCGGGATGCATCGAAATCAGGCCGAGGTGGAGGAGGAGGGATCACATGTCCAGCATACGCTTCATTTTCTTCAAAGCGGTCGTGCAGCCACACGAACTCATCGTGCTCCCGCACGACAGAAAACTCGGGTTTAACGAATTCTGGTAGACTAGTTTTAGTGTGAACGGTGAATTTGACTTTGTCTTTTTCGCTAAGCGCATCAGATATGTCCACACTAATGGGACTCTCGCTCAGGTCCACCGTTTCTGAACGCGCAGGTTTTGATTCCTCGCTACCCCCACCTCCATTTGAGTCTGTGCTTTCTCCATTCATTATCAACTCGACGCGCAATTCACCTTCTCTCCACCAGGCACAGAGCTTCACACACAAAAAACTGATGAGTCTAAAGAAGAAAAAATCCAATACAAAATTCTAGAAACAAATTTCGTCCAGGAAATTGTCGAATGGTTTGTGCAGATTCCATGAAACCAACAAGCGATCATTCAATCAAGTAAATGACAACCGATATTGATGCAAAAACGGGTTCAACACTTAAAAAATCACAAAAGAGACACCTTCCCCATGATTCTATACAAATTCGCTACTTACTTGATGAAAGACTAGTGACGGTCACCTTTCCTAAACAAAATACAATCTCCACAAATGCAAACACAGTATCCTGGAATGAGCAAGAGATTCTTTCGCGATGCTCGATATTTCATTCAAGAATGAGTCAGAATTCTCGTACTGAAACTGTTCCATCAGTGTTCCCGAAGTATGCTTTGCGTACCAAGTTGCAGAATAGCCCGGTTTCTATCACGCCTGAAGAAAGAACGAAAAAACCCAATTTTCGTAAGGAATTACAGTGAATGGTAAACAAGGGATGCGAACCAGGTATCATTTTGAGGCGGATGCTCATTGAATCCCAGTCAAAATCATTTTCCATGGGGAATTTCCAATCGAGTAAGAAATTTCCATTGTCGGTTACGACGGGACCCTGTGAAATACTTTTTTCAGCATCTCCATGGAATGATAATCAAATCGAAAATGGAAACAAACCATTTTCTTGACAGCAAGCCTGAGAGCGGCTTCGCCTCCGAATTGTTCGACAATCCGCGTCTTCACTGGACCCCAACATATCGGCATTACTTCAATGGGGAGACCGTTCGTCCATTTCGTACCTAGCTTGTCGGAGCATTTGCTACAGAAAAAGAAAACGCTCAAAATGCTGAATATGAGACCAATGTCGGTTTCATTTTTGTTCTTACCTATAATCGGCGGCAACCACCATTTTCTTCGAGAAGTAAGCGACAATTTTCTCTTGCGTAAGACAGCCACCTCCTCCTTTAATGCAGTTCAACTTCTTGTCGCATTCATCTGCTCCATCCACGGTAACATCCAACTGCACATAAAAATGAAAGAATTCAGTCTAAGGTATTTCGGACGATTCAAAAAGATAATAATTCTTCCTTGTTCTGTACTATAGTTATAATAGATGACAAGGCATGGACCTCCTCCAATTTCCGTTTCATTTGTTATCCGTTGAAATTCTCTCGAAAAAACTCTCATTGCGGCGAGAAGAATAGAAAAATGTCAAAAGTAGCGAGCAATCCTCGCAGGACTAAAAAAATAGTAATAAAAACATCAAATACATAACCAGGAATAAGAGAAAAAAGTCTCACCATGGGCGTTTCATCCAACGTAGAGAGAACTAAACCGTTGTTCCTTATCAATTCCTGAGCCTGGAACGACGTCGGCACGCATTTCACGATCACATTCGCTTCTTTTGCTTTCTGACCTGCGGATAAAACAAGCATGAAGACTTCTGCGAAACATCTCGTAAGAACTCAAACCTAAATGCGCAGCAGCGAATACCACAGTTGTACCGCTTCCGATACCAACAGCCACTTCCTTCTGTAAGAAAGAAGTGGTTTGAGACATCAATCAAATTTTCAAGAAGGATTTCAGAACTCACTTGCGATGAGAACAGGGGAACAATTTCTCTGTCAACCGCTTCCTTAGCAGCAACCATTTTTGCAGGATCTGTCGAACCCATGTTGTACGACCGAAATCTACTCAGCAATTGACTCCGCAGATTATAAAGCACATTTACCATGCCCTGTTGGAGGAAAACAAAATTCATCGTAATTGCATGAACATTTTTTCAACAGGTAAATGTGAATGGGGCACGTGAAAAGACTTATATGTAACACAGCAACGCCCATTGCCAAGCTGATTTTCTTTTCCTTGTGAGAACAGTCAAAAAAAAAGGTTCCGAGAAAAATCTCAAAGAGTCAAAATGCAAAATGAGCGACTCTCACACTTCGAAAAAAAAAAAAACTTATACGACGGAAATAAAAAGGATAAAAAAATCAATCGCTCCAAGGGGCATGAAAACCTCTGCCACAAAACGTATCAAGTCACCCGTCGGGAATGTCGTACAACCACGGCGTGACGTTTCCGCAACCAACTCACATCACAACGGGAAATTCAATCATCAAGACACAAAACTGAGCCAAAACCTTGCAAACTGAATCGAAAACTGTGGTCTCAAACGGGAAAGACGCATTCGTCAAAACGGACTAGATCTGCAGCCAAAATATTCACATGATACGCTCATTGAAAAAATAACCGCGGAGCTTTGAGAAGTTACAATTTAGCAATATTTGCAAACCAATAGAAACCTAGCATAAAAGCGCAAATCACTATGATCGCATCGCTTCAATTTCACAGCATTCGACATGAGTTTCTTTTCAAGACATACAGAATTGAAAAGATTCCGGAACAGCGAAGGCACTCAGAATTTCAAGCGCAAAAACTTCTAACAAAATACGTCTCTAGCTTTAGGAGGCAGTTGGCTGCAATTGCGGGGAAGAAATCTTTACAGAAGAAGCACCTACGAATCGCAATTCGTAGGTATCCTAAAAAAATAATAGAATTCGTACAAATTTCGCGGATCAATGTTTTGGCAATTCGCGCTGAGGATTCGGAGAAACATAATTTCCAGGCGAGTAGAAAGACGACGCGTCGGATCGCAGATGTGGGAACATCGGCGGCGATGCGCCCGAGGAGTGCGCACCGTTTGTGAAAGCTGATTTGAAAACACTGCCGACGTCAAAAATATCCCATTGCCTTTGACCGAAAAGAGACTGATGATGATGAAACTGCCGGTAATTCATGGCCTGACTCCACATCATCGACGATGCCATGGAGGAATGTGCCAATGCATTCATGGTAGGCGAGAGCATCGGCGGAGGAATCATAGCACGAGGAGTTGGGAACGGCGGAGTCAGCGGTGGAATTGGAGATGATGGATAGTTGTAGGCTGGGCTTGAAAAACTCGAGTTCAAGCGAAGCGGTGGAGAAGGAGCAACTGGTGAACCGAGACCGGCGTGAAAATGTTGGTAATACTGGGCCCACGACCCCGCGAGCGGAGAAGACCACGGATACACATCCGGCGTTCTCACTTCACTACTTCTCAGTTCTTCTTGTTCACCGACGCCATTTATGAGAGCAGGAGTTAGACATCGCTTACGCATGCGAACCTCAACCTTTTCCGACGGTGGGGGCTCAGGAGTCCGAGCAACTTCCATCAATGGCGAAAATGAGCTCAACGGCAAATTATTTTCAAGTTTTGGCACACGAAACTCCGGCTCTTCACTTTTACGCCGCTTCGCTTTTAAAGGTTCACTTTCAGAAAGACTATCACAGGATGGAACAGATTCTGGAGGTTCCAGGGAAGTTGTGCCCTCAACGTTTTCTTTCGTGTCGTCATCGCTGGACTTCAAATGGTTGACGGGAACTGATTCTGCCGGATTATCACAGATCGGTAGAGCGGGTGAAGCGGATCGAACGGGGGAAGAGCACAGGACTTCGGAAGTCAATCTGATTTTCCTCCTCGAAAGGCTTCTTTTCTTCCGCAATTTTTTTGCTTCTCCATTCATTAGGCGAAAATTTTCTTCATCCTTCCGAACTGCAACGATTCTGTAAGAAAGGTGCATCGGCTTGCTTCGATTCCATGGGTAGGTGCATCCGATATCCAGTAATGTATACGGATCTGGAAGCTGGGCGTCTTGCCAAAATATTTCCAAGCGTCCGTGTTTCAGTAACTCAGGACCGAGTTTATTACGTAGTAGATGCTTCAGATGACCGATTGTGACCATTGCCGGACAATAGAAAAATCTCTTCGGACCTACGCACTTCAGCTGATCTATGAGGCGTGACTTGCTCCCAACAATTGCAGAAGAATGACGCGGGGACAGTGCCACATTGATCATATCTTTCGAACTGCATATGACATATCGATGCCCGATCATTCTACCATTCTCTTCTAAATCAGCGGGTTCCGACTCCGGATGCTTCGAATAAAATTCGCGCCTTCGACGCATTTCATCTAGAAGAAACACGATCGATCAATACCTTCTTGCCAGTTAGAATCGCTACGCACTCACCTTCGAATAAACCCGGAACCAGCTTGAACACTATGTCCTGCAGGGTTTTGTCGGGCCTTATATTTAAGAGTGGCTTTGTTTTGTGAATCTGAACGTCACATATTGGGCAATACTTGCTCGTTTCCAAGTAGCGTACGATGCACGATCTACAAACTGCAGCACACGATTATGAAACAATCATTTAGTGATTATTCAGAAAATCAGCAATACTTACACGAATGCAGGCATTCCACAATCGTTGTTGCATCAATGAAGTATCCACCACAAAGGGGGCAAATAATTTGAGGATGCAGGTCGCGCACCTTCATAATGGTCATGGAGCTCATCACACTTCGAGCTCACTCACTCAAGTTCAGTTCAGAATATGCATTACGATATCAAGCAATGCGCGAGAGGCGGATGCCCTCAAAAATAAGTATCCGTAAGCTGCCAACTACGCAACTCAAGGCATCTACATCTCCAAAATAAATAAAAATTCACCTGAAGATTTAAAAAATACAGTAATATGCCGCATGAGTTCAGAAAATCCCAAAATCCGGAAACATCAACCCACGAAACGAAAACCGCCAATTTCAAATCCGGAAACTCTCCACGAGACATTCAAAATAACTTGATCACTCCACAAATAACTACTGTATTTCGGACTGAGGAATATAGAAAAATCCAGCTTCAAGTTCCTCACTTCGGAATTGAAGGGTACGAAGCGGATGATCGATCACTTCACGTGGGGCAAGCACATAAATTACAGTATATAAAGCACACTTGCACCTCCGACGCCTTTTACGAGTCACGACCCATGTGCGCCTAGCGATTCAGGAGTTGGGACATCATCCGCCGCAAGTCGACATAACAATGGCGGCGGCCTTTTTCGTACATCTACACTGTCACAGAGCAGTCCCTTCTTCGCATGTCAACTTTAATATTGTTCTAATTTCATGAACTTTGAGATCAGTCATTTCTAGATAAATTCGTGGTGTCTGCGGAATTCCAGGATATTTTCAATGTTTATACTTCCCGTTATATTATTATAAATTTTGTATGCTTTTCCATTTTAATATATCATTTTATAGCATTTTTTCCAAAATTCACCGTGCCGGATGACATATCTTTTGCATATCTGGAATTTTTCAGAAATCTGATACTGTACTGCTACAGTATACAGTAGTATACAGTAACTGTAATTGGATCATTTATTTTTTCCTCACACTATTCAGTATTTATGCATGTCGGGATATACAGTACTGTATACGGTTGTAAAATTGGGAACTTTGGCGGTCAGATGAAGGTGGGAACTATAGGGGCGCAGAATACAGTACAGTACAGTACTTTATAGTTGAAATGATGTTGGTGTAACGATCATCATCCATTATCAACCGCCATCATTCAGTACATAACTACGTTCGGCTATACGAGATCAGGGAGACATTTTTTGCGGCGATAGCACACAAATGAACCGAAAAAATATTTTTAGTCTGTTAATATAATTGTATCAGAATGGCCTGAATCGAGATGAAGAGACTTTCCAGCACAATAATGAAATGCAATGATTCAGGGGTGCCCAAGATACGGCCCGCAGGCCAGATCTGGCCTGCGGAGCACTTCTGTCTGGCCCGTGAAAGTCACCCACCAGCAAAAAATAGAAATAAGATAGAAAGCAAGTCAATTTTTAGAATACAACAGACCAATCAGCCTCCTGAATAAAAATTTATAGAAATTCTGCAAAAATCACATATATATTTTCTTCGTGTTTATTGCTACTACAGTACAGTATGCAAAATATCATCACAATAAAAACAATACCTGAAATTTCTGATTTATCATATTTCCAAGTTCTTAATTTCACTTGATCATATAAAGATGAAAAAATTTTGCAAATAAGCTTTTGTCAACTTGTAATATGATTCTATATACATGCTATTCAAAATTAAAAAGGTCAGATAGCTTTTTGAAGTCTGGCTACAATCTGAATGGTGTTCAAGTGATGCATTGATTGTCTTTAAAACCCCCATTCTGGAGCAGTTTTCTGCACAGCTCAAGATATAATATTTTCAGGAGGTGAAACCAACATTCATATATAATTTTAAAATTATTTTTGTCTTGATGAGCTGGTGAATTCTGATTTTTAATCTCAGAAAATGACAAAGAATGGACTGAAATGTTTGATATTACCTTTGTGTGCTGCTCTTATCTACCACTCCCAAATATGCAGGGATGAAAAAAAGTTGATATTGAGCATCCCACAGAATAATGTCTGCAGAATAATGTCCAAGATTTAACATTCTCTTTGTGAGTCTCAATACCAAACTCTCAACTAGCAGTGCAATTCTGTAATACATTTGCTTTATTGGTGAGGGTGCGTTTGAAAATAGGAGATCTAAACTAATCGGTTCCTGCTGCTCATTAATTTAAAATGTCTATAGCAGAGAAATCATCCAATTGAGCACTTTTCCTTTGAGCATAATTTCTCAAGTTGAAAGAAAAAAATTTGAAGATTTTTATATAAAGTTGTTCATCAAATATGGGTGTTTGTTTTCCCCTTTTCATATCAAGTTTATACCATCAGTTGAAACATGTTAGCATAAGGCAGGGGGAATCCAACCTCAATTTGACATCTTCAGGCTAACTTGCATTGAAAAAAGCAGAATGTGTACATTTTTCTGAACCCTTTACCGATAAACAATTGAATAATAAGCCATACTTTTTTTCCTGTGGCCCCCAAAGACTGTCCTCCCAGTCATGTGGCCCACCTCAGTTCTGAGCTAATAGGCACCACTAATTAGTAAATGCTGTATACCCTTTCATGCTGTAGCTGATATGGTGCCAAGAAGACTCCTCTATTCATTGGACGGCTGATTGCCGGATTCAATTTAAATACTGTACACTTGTCATGAAGTTTCCACAAATTAATCATGTCAAAGATTTTCCCAAGAAAAGTGGGGATGAATTGTTATGTTCATGTACATAACCTTAATATATAGGCGTCATTTATTTATTTAAGGAAGGGTGCATGCTGATAGCGTGATCATCGTCATGCATAGAGAACACGCGGAATCTTGATACATCGTTTTATTTCTGTCTCTTACACTACAGCACAAAATAACACAAAATGCAAGTCCAGGTCGAAGGTTGCTGAGTGCTCTCCCTCATCGTTGAATCAGTATCTTTTCTGCTCGACAAAGTACATCTCTTCCATGAAAGGACACCTTGCTGACGTATTTTCAAGCGTCCGGAAGAGATCAAAAACACGTACACCAGGAAGTTCTTAAACTTCACGTATCCGGAAAAAAGCGAACGAGTATGTCTCACACGAATTAAAAACAAAACTTATACTGCCATCGAAAAAAATTTGCGAACAGTGACGATCGAGAAAGCGCGGTATTGCCAGCAACTCAGATTTCTGCTTTTTCGCATATATCCCACCGGAAAATAGAGAAAAGATGGACGTCGAACGTTTTTCTTTTTCTTCATAAACGCTAATAAAAAGGAGGATTTGATCATTGACTAGGCCCATCCCCTCTTCCATCTCTCTCATACAATCCAATGAGTCGCACATTATTGCCTCACATATACGGGTTTTTCACCAAAAAGAGGAAAAATCACCGAAAAGAGGGAAAAAGGAACACTTGTAATGTGTGTGACGTGCGTGTGTGTCTCGTCGTCGCAGCAGAGCCGAAAAAATAAAATAGATGATGACGACAAACGAATCAAAACACGCGCAAACGACGATTCCCCTTCACACACGGCGCGAATGGAGAGACCACAAGGAAGTACCATACAGAGATCGAGAATTCTTCATAAATTTTTCCTTTTTGTTTTAGTCACAGCAGAGCTATATACCGTGTTTATGCAATTATAGGCCGCAATCTGATTTTTATTTGATAATGGGAAATGATTTTGGGGGCAAAAAATTGGTATGGACATGATGACAAAGAAGAATCGTGAATTTTTGAGGGGAAATGCGAGAGATAATACAGAAAGAAGCGTAAATTGATTTTCGTCCATCAAATTTCGTGCAATCTTTAAATAACGGGCTAAAGAATAAATTCCATACAATACAGACTTACAGTAACGTTACTTACAAAACAGTAACGTTAGAATAAAGTCGCCTAGAAAAAAAAACTCGGTGTTTCCTCAACGACAGAATTTTGTTGGTGCTTATCCGCATTTCCCCCCATGCCTTGTTTGAGCTCTTCGCTTGATCTTCAGTGTAACAAATGGCGTCGGCCGATTGCGAGAAACTTCGTCATATAGACAGTTAACACATGCTTGCATGCAAGTGATGATAAATCAAGCTCGTGATGGGTTCTAACTGAAGTTGCAGCGGATGCTAAGTGTTGAAATTTGACTGAATCCTTGTCATTTGGCGGCGCTTAGCGAAGGGAATGTGACTTATAATCACATAAACACGGTAAGTCGGCTTCGCGAAGCCGCGATTTGAAAAAGAAGCGCCTCCAAAACGTCTTCCTCCCGGCTCATCATCATACGATTCTCCCGGCAATTGAACAACACCGGCAAACATTTACAGCACAAAAGTTCGAGAACCGATTCCACAAAAAAAGTCGATTTACGGAGCTGAGGATTCAAAAAAAAAAAATGTAGCTCCGTGAACCGTTTTTTAGCACCCAGCGAGTAACCAGCAGCAAATAGCAGCAAGACACAATCAAGAGACGATTATTTCTTTCTTTCTCTGCGGAAGGTCCGATATCATCAATAATCCGAAAGAACAAACAAGCAACACTCGCCAAAAAAACACCGTGGACGCGATATAACGCGCATAAAAACGTCGATACTTTTGAGTTTTCCCCCCCTCTTTCACCGAATTTTTTTGAACACGAGAAAAGAAAGGGGAGCAGAACAGCCAGTTCGTCGAGCTACCATACCAGTGCGAATCAAGATATCTCATCAAATGATTTCCCCCAATTCGGGGGTTTTACACTTGAAAATTGGGGGTATGCAAGAGGAAAAAACAGCCACGTCTGCATGAATGAGGAAGAATGGTTTTTACAAGAATAAAGCTGGAAAGTTTCTTTTTTTTCTGCCCCGCGACAGCGAGAAGAAGAAATAAAAAGGTCACAACTCAAAAACCACAGTCGGATTGAAGCTCCTCGAACCCATTTTAAAGAGCCGAGAACGGACGACACTCGACCAAGATTTCCTTTTAGCACTTCATCCCTCCCCACTTTCGAATACGCAGATTTCACATAAAACCTTCCAACATATTGAGAATTTTTTCTTCTTGACCCTCTCAGAGAAACCGTCGATAGAAAAAGCTTTTGAGAAACTTGGGATTTATACATACCTCGTAACGTCACTGCTCCGAATAAGACACATAGCGAAAAACTTGAAGAAAGTCTATATAGTTAATATAAACATGCCAGCTTTAATCCTTTCAGCCGCGTTTCCAAAAAAAGATGACCTTATTCATAATTATTCTGATTTGTATTTCAGAATAAGGTATTCTAACATATTAATTAGAAAATCTTTCATCCGAATCGTTCATCAGGCATGGAATAATATGCTGTATAGACTCCCGCCTAATTTCATGCGGTATATATCCAAGCTTCATCCACAACAAGAAAATAGTTTCGGGAATTTCAAGGCCTTCACGCAAAACATTTTTCGTAATACGAGAGCTTTTGACGGATATTGTGGATTTTACCATAGTTCTCAAGTAATTCGAGGTTCTGAAATTCCAGTTTGAGCCTAAATTCAGCAATAAAATGTTCATTGTTTTTAATTTCTCAGCTTTATTGAAGACTGGGACACAAACCCCTCTGTTAATCCCATGAATGTAAAACATTTCGGGAACTAAGCTTTACACTTGATTTCTTGGAGAATAAATCGAAGTCTGATTTATATAAACACGAAAAACCAGCAGTAGCTCCTCGGCAATTTCCATTTTAAATACGTGCATTCAGGATATGAAAAAATCGTGTTAAATCAAATAATAATGCATAATTTTACCTATAAAATTGTCAGACAACGTTATTGTATTTTTTTTGAGGAAACACGATTCACCGAAGTGATGAGAATGGATTCGCGAGAAGGCATGACACGTTTTTAGTAACGTACATCCCTTGAAGCAAAACGAATTAATGACGTGTCACGGTGTCAAGTCCACTAAAATCGGCAAGATTAAGAATGGAAATTATTCAATAAGACGAAATCGCGATGAATAGCATTTTCGGAAATGGCTATATAGGATATTAAATATTCTGTGGCATTAATTATCAAAAAATCAGTTTCCAGTCAATGTTTCCTTGTTTTTGGTTAAAGTAATAAAACCCAGGGGGAATGATAAACCTTCCCATGTCAACACGCTATCAGAAACGTTTGGGAATGAAAAAAACAAAAAAAACAAACAAGCAGTACAGTATATAGCGTGCGAGAGCAAATTTTGTACTTGAAGGTAACCCAACATTCCGGCGCCTGGAGGGACAAGTGGTGCATCGAGATTTTTCTTGTTTTTCAACGACTCTATATATATTTGCATTTATAAAAAACCCTCTCTTTAAGGAAAAGGGATTTTGAAATGGCACTGCAGCCACCGCCTTCTCAAAAAAATAAAATAAATCCTCCAATTCCGGCGGACGGGGGAAAAGGTAAAAATTCGACCGGAACACCACCAGAATCCAAGACTAGCTCAAACGAATCCCCGCGTGATTGAAAGTGGATATAAAAAAAAATTGCGAAGAAATACTTTCCCGCGATAAACAAAACAAAGTTGGGTTACTCCTTTACGATCACTAATCCTGACTAGTAACAACATATAAGAGGAATATCAGCAGCAGATGATCTGGGGGGGGGGGGGGGGGCATATTCTTTTTGTGAATAAGAAAAGCCTCGGATATGGGGCTAACAGAAGTTGACACAGTATATATTACCAAGGGAAGAAAAAAAAAAAAAAAAGAAAAGCTTGCTTGATTGATTGATTGTTTCACGATAAAGACAAAAAGTGTTTCTTTCTCATCTCTCCCTTTCTTTTGTTTTTTTTTTTTCTTTCGTTTCTTTACACATGCTCTCCGCGTAAGTTCTCGGAGTCGATGCTCGATATATAATATTTTACACGCCCGATTTCCGGTTCCAATGCAACAAAATCAGCTCGAGTGAATTTACAACAGGAGAAGGAGAAAAAAAAGGAAGGAAGGAAATCCGCGAATGGCCGCCTATCACAGATGGGCATACATTATCTCCGATCGCGGAATAGAAGGAAGTCCTTGACGCCGGTCGGCAGTGCCATCGTCTGCACTCCTGCTTCCACGTCGTTGTCGTTCTTGTGGATCTCTTGTCGGATCACGTATCTGCATAAATCCGTCAAAGGCAATGCGTTCGCTGCGGACAAACAATTTATACTGTTCAGAAAAAAAGAACTTCATCTATCAAAAGATCAAGTCTCAAATCAGAAGAGTGTCTCTTAAATTCGGTAGAGTTAATCGCTGAAAGTCAGAAGAATAAGTCAATGGAAATTAGAAGAGCAAATATCTTGAAGCCATAACTCCCAGAGGAGTAATTCTCCTATAGTCAAAAGAGTAATTCTTTTGAAGTCAGAAGAGTAACTTTCTCAAATTCAGTAGAGTAAATTTCTGAAAATCAGGAGAGTTTATTAGAGCCAGAAGAGCAATCAAGATGAGGAAAGCAAGTCTCTGGAAGTCAGGAGATCAAGTCTAAAAATTAGAAGAGTAAATCTCTGGAAGTTTGAGAAACACGTCTATTAAAGTCAGAAGAGTAAGTCACCAAAAGTCAGGAGAGGGAGACTCGATAAAAATTAAAAATTAAGTCTATAGAATTCAGAAGAGTAAGTATGTAAAATTCAGAAGAGCAAGTCTGTAAAAATCAGAAGAGCAAGTCTATAAAAATTAGAAAATTAAATCTTCGGAAGACATGAATCCCAAGCCTAACTGAGCAAGTTTACCAAAAGAGACACATATCAAAACAAAAATATATTTCAAGTTAGCACAGAGTTTTTGCATGATTGGCTCACTTCGTTTTTTGTCTAAGAAAATTCAAGTTATGCTTAGCTCGGTATTAAATTGTCGGAGTAGTTATAATTAGGCAAACTTGAGGTAGTTCAAGTTAGATTCGGCAGTTAAGTTAATATTCAAGATTTTTTCACATTTCTCAGGTTGAGTTACGATATGAAAAATAACGTTTCTCATACTCGGAATAGTCCCTCAAGAATTAACATGATGAGCATCATGCAAATATGATGATTAAACGTTACAGGACACGTGCATCAGTTTCAACGTTCTGAATTTTAGAAGGGCACATACATTTTAGCATTTTTAGCACATAAGAAAGAGCGCTGCGTTCAGCACAAATAATTTTCAAAATTATTTCCAGATAGGTTCATTATTTTTATTTTTGCCAAGTTCATATATCGAAGTAAGCCGAGCAGAAGCGTGTCCACCACAGCAAATAAAGTATTTGGAATAGAGTGCAGTATATGCTCAATTACAACTTTAAAAGAAAAGCAAAAATTGAAAACTCACCGCTCAAGCTCCCCAGATATTTCATGGAGATTTCACTGTGTCCCCAGACAGCGGACACGATAGGAAACAAAGTTTTACCCCGCAATCCCCGAAATGCAATGCCCAAGTACTGGCCGTCGACGACGAAGCTCAACGTGCCGTCATCCATGTCCAACACAACTAAAAAAAAATAAAATAAATTTAGAATTTAAAATACAGCTTGGGCAGAAAATAAAAGAAATAAACGCAAAAAATATTCCGTAATGCCCAGCTAAAATCTGGCTTTCCACAGAAAAACCGGAATGGCGATGCGGAAGGATTAAAAGGAAAACCCCACAAAACCAGCGACACTTGACAAAATTTATTAAACCCTCGTTCGTTTTCAGAAATACATGTACACGTACTGTGGTAAAATACAGTACTGAGAATTCTCAAGGATACAGTGACCTTCAAGTTCTGAAATATGAAGAAATTCTTAAAAACCTGGATAAAAACTGAAATCTCCTCGAAGCCCCGAGCAAAAAAAAAAGACGAATACCGTACATATACAGCACATTAGACCCCGCATGCCAGCGCTAAAATCTCACAGGTTCCTTGTAAGATTTGGAGAAATAAATTTCCGTTCATCGAATGAGGTACTGTATATCCGGTCATAATGAGAACTAACTTCCTGCAACTATTTATTCAATCTTTTAATTTTTCCAGCCTTCTTCATTTAACTTTTTGCGAAGAGATTGTCATAACGATATCAATTTCATGTGTCTCAGATAAATGATAACGAATTAATGATATCGAACGATACCCAAGAAGCAAATACAGTATTGATACAAAATAACCGAGAAATATAACATGGTAGGTTGGCCCGAGGATGGCTTCAAAAAAGCATCATCGAAGAATCAATTTATTGAAAAAAAATAGTGCAATTGAAATCTAAACATGGTTTTGGAATATTAAACACGTGTTCTCCATATTTTTGAGCAGTAGCAGATAGGACTTGAATACATTTTCATCGAGGTTCTTAAGATTTAAAAAAAAAATCGAACACAACATTATTACACCCGACTAAGCAGTCACATAATAAATGTATACTATTCGATTATAACGAATTTTTCGGATCTTGAAAAACACAATGCTGTAAAATCCAGTTTTCCGATCATTGTGTTCTTTTTAACAAGGACAAATTCGGATGCGGTACAATCAAACATCTCATCAAGTTTTTTAAATGTTGGATTGTACAGCATCTGAATTTTCCCCACTTTAGTTACATATTTTCGCATTTAAACCTTACTTTATCGTTCAGAATTCTCAGTTATACAGTACAAAATAGTGTATCACCACAGTATTTCTACAAACAAACTCAAGTTTAGTAATTCTTGGCAAAGCTCAGCTGGTTTCGTGGGGGCTTTCCTTCTAATCCTTCCGCGTCGTAATTCGTTCTACAGTACAGTACTGTAATTCCGTACCTCTTCCGTGGAACCAGATCTTCGTCGGGATTTACAAAATTGTTGCAGTATATTATTTGACGTTTTAAGGTTTCGTGAGATATTTTTTTAATGAGGATGACAGAGAGATGAATTCAAATGGGATGATTTAAATATTGTGATGAGATGATTCAGGTGCAGACACATTTCAGCTCTTTTCTTTATTAATCCAATAAAGAAGCACAAAATTTAAACCAACAATTACTTCCTTCATATTATAAAGTTACTTGCCGTCCTCGGTTCGCAGTTTTTTTAATTTTCACCAGCCCTCCCTTCCTTCCTGCTCCTTACCTCCCTCTCACAGAGCCCCAGAGACCTGCAGGAGGGTCCCATTTCCCGTTTTTCAAAGTTTGAAAATTTGGGAAAAATCGAATTTTTGACCAAATTAACTTTTCAAAACTTTATAAAAAGCGCCATGATGTTTTCTAAATTTTCCTTTTTTAAATTTTGAAAAAGCTTCAAAATTGGCCAAGTTACAATGAAAATCCCAAAACATTTTTCAAAATCGTGGATAATTTGAGAAAAAACACTTTTACATTTTTAATTTTAACTTTCTCAGTTTTCAACCTTTCACTATGAAAAAAATACGTAAATTTGCAAAACATCTATGCACAAACTCTCCTAAAAAATCATTTAAATTGAGTAGAAAACACAAAAGTTATGATGAGCTGAAGTGAAAAACAGGAGGTCTCTGGAAAAAATCCATTTTCTATTTTTGAAAGTTTATGAATTTGTAAAACACCAATCATTGTGCAAAATCTGTAATTTAAATGTTTAATGAGTGCACCATGATGGTTTCAACATTTTATTTTGAGGTCTCTGGAAAAAATCCGTTTTCTATTTTTGAAAGTTTATGAATTTGTAAAACACCAATCATTGTGCAAAATCTGTAATTTAAATGTTTAATGAGTGCACCATGATGGTTTCAACATTTTATTTTTTGAAACTTTGAAAAATATGAAAAACTGACCAAGTTAAAGTCAAAAATGTGAAACATTTTTGAAATTGGCCAGAAATGTAGGACAAAAGATTTCATTGTTTGAATTTTTATGATTGGATTTTCAACATTTGTGAATGAAAAAATTACTAAGTTTGTAAAACATCATTGTGCAGACAACCTCAATTGAAATTTTGAAATTGAGTAAATATTCAAGAAATCAGAATGAGCTAAAGTGAAAATCTCAAATTATCCATCCTGATTTTCTTCCATTTTGTCAACTTTGAAATTTTGCCAAAATTTGAATTTTCAACCAATCTCCAAATTTGTAACAGTCTTGAATAAATAAAATCCCCCTGCTCATGTGCCAGTTGTGGCCCACCGGGCCACAACTGGCGCATTGAGCACAATTACAAAATTACCGTTGGTCCTTGAACAAGTAACCAGCTTTAGTACCATTCATTTTTTAAAACTTAATGCACAGAGATGTGACTGGGCCACACAACTGGGCATGCTCTCTTCCAGATCAAAATTTTAACATGGAAAATCTGTCCAATGCCCAGGTGTGGCTGGGCACCCTCAGCTTGTCTTAAATAAAGCTTTGATATTTCTCTAAATATACATAGGACTTCATGAAGTACTCGCTGACACGTAATTCATCAATCATTTATTTTTGACAACCCCGGAATTCAAAAAGTGTTCCGATGATCTTGAATCGGGGGTTTTTGTTTCGCATGAATTGATGTACAAAAAAAAAAACACGCGACAAAATCTTTTTTTTTTATATAGGGTGACCTCCGGTTGAGATATGGCACAAATACTCATGTGAAGACGAGAAGTGGCAGAAAGACACACACCAGGATGGAAAACTGCTGCTCTCCTCGAGCTGGAATGCAACGCCAAGTCCTTCAAGTCCGCAAAAGCCAGATACTTCACCCATGTATTCTTGGAGGCCAGAGCCTGGTGCAGTTTCAACGCAGAACTGTTTTCGACTCCAATCGGAAATTCTTGCGGCTTTAGAAAGAAAAGCGAAACAGACGAGCATAAGGATTTCGACACACTCAGAAAAGTGTTCTGTATTCCGAAAAATATTGCTCAGGGGGTCAATAAAGATTTTACTTCTATAGCTCAAATGCCTTACGCCAGTAAAAAACACGGTCCACACGTTGAAAACCGCAAATCGAAACCACGCGAACCCAATAGCCAGAACCCAGGTTCTCAACCAGGACCTCGGGTTCCCCAGAAGATCCACAGCTGATGCCAGGGCTGCCCCGGTTCCATCGCGCCTCCAAGTCGTCAGTCCCACTGTAGAAATTTTAGTAAAATCTCATGAAAACAAAATGTCAGTACTGTATAACAAACTTCTTTTCGAGTCCCAGCAGAAATCCTATACGGTACATATTATTGAAATCTCGTTACAACAAACTCTCCAATTCCAGTACAACACACTTTTCTGTGGAACATGAGATTTTCCCAATGAAGGCATCAGGCGCAGTCTCAAATTCCCGATTTAAAAATGTGGCTGTGACTGGTTCTTGGGTCACAAATGGAAGGTGGAATCAAGGAACAAAAATTCTTAAAAATTCACCAGCACATCCTCTCTTTCAAAAATTGTTCTTAGGATAAAAGATATGAAGGAAGGAGGGGGGGGGGGTGGATGAAAAATTAAACTTTTCAAGCTACTTTGGAACATCTGCCTTTACAAATCTGTGCAGGAATTGCTGAGAAAAACTTGAAAGTCCACAAAAAGTGATTGAGTTTAACTGTTTTTCAGAGTAAATGTTTGCTATTAACATTTGCATTTTTGAAGATCATAATTTTTCAACACTGAAAAACTTCTAAAAAAGGCCACAAAAGGAAGATGTTAAAAACATGCAGGTTTAATCAAGAAAAATCTTCGCATTAGTCAATAATTTTGAAAATCTCGTTATAACAAATAATTTCTCATAGCAAACTTTCTGAAGGCCCCAAGAGTTTGCTGTAACGAGATTTTACTGTAACAAAGGACACACAATATTTGTGACATCTCAATTGGACCAACCAACAAAAAAAAGGAATTCCTAGATAGAAAACTCACCACCAAGACACACACAGAGTGCAAAGGCCAAAACGGAGCTCGTTGCTCGCCCTACAGCATTTCGCCAGCGAAAACCTGACACAAACATGCCCAAACGCGAAAAAATCCTCGCTGACCGCCTGTAATTTTCTTTGTGGCCCTTGGAAAACTGGCCCGACTCAAGCACCCAGTCTGGCCCGAACCACGTTTGCCAAGTCAACTTCAATGCCTCCAAAAGCAAGAACATCGTCATGAACACAGTCGATTCCGGGTTCCGCAAAAAACTGCAACCGTAACAAGAACAGTTTCACCCCCATATAATTCAAAAGGAACGCTCTTAATTTCGAAAATTTACACGTCAAAAATATTTCCTACCTGAAGTTCAAATCCCACATCAGAGACGAGGCCACGAAGAACACCGTCGATGCTGAAATCACTTCTGCAAACGAACTCGACGTCTCCTTTTTCCATCTCGCTTTCAACGCTTTTGCGAGAGATTCGTTCGCCTCCACATTCACACCAACTGCAGAAATGATTTGATTTACACCAAATCCATACCCGGAACACAACAAATTAACACTACTTCAATTCATCTATTTTCAAAGTCACCGCATTTACTTGAGTACCACAAGCCCTCAAGTAAAACAGGCGCCAGGGGTTTTTCAGTCGAATTTTTTTTAAAACAATTTTAGCTCCACGACGCGCACGCTTAAAATCAAAAGATCACCCAAATTTGAATTTGGACACGAATTGAACCTGAAGTCAACTAATTTTCCATTGTCTCCATAACAATGAGTTTTTCTGTTGAACTTATAAATAATAAACGCATGAATTTCTAGTACTTTTCAAAAAAACAAAATTCTGTGCATAAATGATGACGAGCACCCCAACTTTTTTCCAGTCTAATTTGAGAAAAAAAAAGAAAGGTGCACATGGTACTTGAGTAAATGCAGTAATAATCCGCAGATTCGTTGATCTGTATCATCAATGTCAAGTTCATTCTTCGCCAAAACTCGTGGATTTGAAAGAAGCCCAACTTTGTTTCGCACTCACTTTGACACGACGCCATGAAGAAGCCAGCAAGCAGCGCAACCGCCAAAGTGAAGCATATCACAGAGACATAAAAAGCAGGGGAGACCAATTCGGCAAACAAGAGTGCAAACCACGACGATGATCCCGAAAATGGCGCCACTAGGAGACGAGTCGTCACAGAGATTGCATAGGCAATTATGCTCACAGATGTCGCAGCAATTAGGACTGTGCCCGCAAACCGTCTAACTTTCATCTGGAAAAATCAAGTGCAAGAGTTGATGAGAATCCGAAAGAACCTTGGATCTTTTAGCCCAATTGTTTCCAGATATTTCGAAAAATCGTTTAAAGCAAAAATTTGTTCGGTTCCATGTGAATTTTTAAGCAAAGAAGGCCTTTCATTTCTCACAAAATTTGAAGAAATGTAGGGAATTTCCGCCTTCAGGCGACGCACCTCATTAACGAATTCCTCGACGGACGCTTCTTCGGGACGATCAAGGCGATCAACGCCATCAGGATAATTGTACATGGTCTACGCACTATCAATCTGAAGGACAAAAACGGCACATTTCATAAGCAACCCCAAGAATTCATGCTTGCAAGTAAAAGATAGCAGAAGCTTTCACAAAAACTCTTTCTTTTTCATCACATTCACAAAGAAGGAACAGAAACTTCCGCGATCGAGAGCAGATTCGAACCAGAGATCGCAAAATTTGATCCAATTCCACGAGCACAGTTAGTACCAAAGCCTCAAGAGATCTCTGGCTGAAAAAAAATTGTGTTTCCAATACAATCACGCATTCTGATTTTCCTTTCGACACGTTACTCAATGAAAACTAAGAAACCTAAATAGCAACAAATATTCGAAACTGAAAGACGCTCAATAATTAGCAAAGATGTCCTTCCATCTACCAAGAGTTTTCTGCTTTCCCTTGCACCATCACCTGCGAGCCTTTTTGGCAGACGATTTTTTCGCTCTCGACGACGAAGATGATTTTGACTTTTGAGAATCTTCTTTGGAGCTCTCCGATTGCTTTTCTCGGGAACTTTCTGCAGCAGCCTCCGTTTTCACAGACTTGACAAACTTCTTGTCCTGACTATCATCCACAGCTGAACCATTGCCTTGGAATTCATTTTCACTCGGTTGCTCAACTCCAGCTGTCAAAATCATGGAATGTCGGCAGAGAAATAAGAGGAAAAAAAACTGACGGAAACAGCGACAAATGTGAAAAAAAAACATACGAATAAATCAGGAGAACGCGACCGAACCTAGCTTCTGAATAAAATAACGGCATCACGTTTTTCCTCGGCCCCTGATTCTTGTGCATCAAGTTCATCCTAGTCTGAGCTGCCACAGAATGTGTCACTGCTTCAACAACAGCAAACAGACTTGGGGGGTTGAATATTTCATCAATAGTTTCATAGGTGTCGCATCAATTTTGGCGGTTCTTCAGCTCAGCGAAGTTAATAGACTCACTAGTTACATGTTTTCACTTACAGTTGGTAGCTAATATTGTAATTCAAACCTACCCGCGTGATACATTTTTTTAAAGCCCCTGTCTGAATGTCTGAATTTTCATAGAAAAAACGCATTGAAAACCTCCTTAAAAAGACTTACCCCCTTCAACCGTTATATCTCAAATTTTTCTAGAGGTCTTCAGAAAATACAGTACTTCTCACACATCTAGTTCATATTCACCTTTGCTCTCGGGATCCATCAACCCATTGACAGCCTGTAAAAAAAAAAAGTCACACGCATAACCATGGCCATCTCAAGATCAAAATGAAAAGGACACCTTACAGCTGCAGCAGTAATGGAGGACCGGGAGAAAAGTCTCTCATTCTCTTTGAATTTCCGATTCTTTTTGTCAGCCTTGGACGGATTCTTTTGGGGACCGGTCAGATATCGATCCCAGCCCCTGATAATGTTGCCAAAATTCTGAGTATCCTCCAGGTAACTCCCTTCGAAAGCGTAGATTTGTCGCTCCAAATTTTCCAAGTTCAACTATCAATACCAATACGAAAAAGCGGCGAACTCGAGATTGTGACTGGAAACTGCTTCGTTGATTTTTCAATTTTACATTCGAAACCGCAATGCCATAAAAATGCTCACCGAAATCTCATTCCTACGTTTCACCAACTCCAGCAAATCAGCCCTCAAATTCTGCATTTCCCCCGCACTTTGTTTAGGTCCTCCCTTACTCCCCATGTCAAGCAACCTCAAACAATAAATTAATAACCATTCAGTCTGTCAAAGAAACTGAGGTACTTGTACACGAGAGGTGACCCTACAGTACTTCGGCTAAAAACATGGGCTGCATCAAGGATTCACACTTAGGATTAGCCTGCATTTACACGAATAAATGAAGCCCTTGACTTGGGGAACCTCGTCAGTCCTCCGAAGTTCAAACCGAAGTTTGTATACCCTATATAATCCACCACACATGGTGGAATATGATCAAGCCAAATTATCGACCAAGGTGAGGAATTATGGAATACGAGAGCTCATTTAGAATCAGCTGTTTTTCGCTCTCTCTTTTGCTCACTGAACTCATTCTCCTCGTATCGGTCACTCTTATGCCTCGTTTCTACGTCATCAGCATTCAGACTTGACCGGCACTGACAGTTTCACATCAATACTTCGAAGTAATGAACAGAACAGAGATACTGTCCCACACTTCAACATTCCTACTGTTTCCAACTTCCATCACAATTAGAGTTTCACTTCGCCAATTGAAGCAACTTCTGCCGATGGATTACTGGACTGAGGCCTTGTCCATAAATTTAGCGGGAACTAACGACCTTCCACGAGGTACACTCTCAAACACTTCGTCTGTTCAGGTCAATTGAACGTTTGTTTAATATTCTAGAATCCCATATAGATGTCGCTATTTCTTAAAAACCGTTTCTTCCCAAATTCAAGCGTCATAACCACTATCTGTCAAAGCTGCTTCCGCATTTTATCAAAAAGACTAAAAACCCTTTCCACATGCACGTGTACAGCAGTTGATTACACGTGTAATGAATTACTAATCACTACAATGCTTCTTGTAAATAATGTTGAATTATTCAACCAATCCATGATACTGCCGCTGTATGGAATGAGAAATGAAGAGACAGATTTTGAAAAAAATTCGGTTTATAGGAATGTGAATGAATCAATCGCGAACAATCAGTCAAGAGACCATCACTAAGAACTGATTCAATTCCAGCAAGGATGAAGATACCTTGGAATGGTTTCGGTAGCCCTCCCCTTCCTCCAACCCTGGAAGAATGCGTCAGGGAAACCAGAAGCCCCACATACTCTCTTTTTGTCCTTTTGGCACACCCACAGCACATTCTCTCTCTCTCTTTCAAAAAAGAAAACAAACCAATAAATTAACCAACTACAAGGATAATTGGCAAACACTTGAGCTACAGCGCAGGTTTTCTTCGTCCTACAAACGCAGGGAAACACCTAAGCCCTACAGCACGCCGACTTGTACGATTCGTAGAAAAAGGAATTTTGTAGAAAACATAGCAAAGCATTCAATCTGGTTGCCACGCATGCGCCAAACATCCGGTTCGGTGTGGGGGTTTCAACAGGGGAAAAAGGAACGTTATACAGTACATTGGATTGATTCGTTTTTCCCGCGTCCCCCTCCTAAAACCTCCTTTGCTCAAAATATTGCTGAAAGACTACCTCATCTCTTCCAACAACCTTGAGTACCAGGAGTTTCGAAACCGACCGCTGGAAATAAAGCGCTTCAGCCACTCCCGCATTCATGCCATATTCAAAAAAAAACAAAACAAAAAGGGAATTTCTGCAGTTCCCCCAACCCACCTCAATTTGGTAACTTGAACCAATAGTTATACTGCACTGTTGATCAACCATCCGCAAGCTGAGGAAATGACGATTTCCCATAAAATCCACAAAAAAATTGGACCAAAGCTTACTTTCCTATTGGCAACGCGCTAAAAAAAAGGGGGGGCTTTTATGACCTTGAAACAATCATTAGGAACCCTCAGTTAACAAACTTCTGGTGTTGAGGAAAAATTCTTGTTCAAAACCTAATTGTGAAATTCAAAATTTTATTTTGAGGCTGACATATTTATGGTACAATCTATAAGCACAAATAATTTAATTATGCATTAATTTGAAAGTACTTCCCTTCTGGCACTCTAATATGTGTATTTTGAACTATGTTTCAGCTAAATTATTAATTTATCATTTTCTCTAACAGAACTGTTTGCTTTTCTGTAGTTGTGCAATTGTTAGAAAGGTCTTCTTTTTTAGGTTCGAATTATAGCTTTGAAAAAATTTCATTTTCACTGGACATGTACCCTACAGTGTGTGTTTCCCTGAATGTGAAGCTTTTTTATCTATGTTTTCAATGGTACTCCAATATTACACTGCAAGAACATTCTGGGCTCACAGAAGATGCAATATTAACTTATTTTGATTATAGTTTATGGCCTTACATTTAATCATATTCTACGTTTGATTGTCTTTTGGTTTCACAGAATGGATTCAATTCTTCCTCATCAAAGCCTATGGAAAAATCGAATTATGGTTATCAAACTTTTGTCTGGAACCAATTGAATTTGTTGACTGAGGGTCCACTGTATTTTTCAAAGAAATATCTCAACCTCCAAGTATTTTCTGATTCTAAAACTGTTGCAACAGTTTCGTCATCATGCAGTTTGAGCAATGCTTTGACATTAATATGAAGATCACTCATCACATACTGTCATCATAGAAGAAATACAATTGAAGTCGGATTTAACCCTAGACCCCGAATGCTCACTTCAATAAAATTAGAAAATACAGTAGCGCCAACAGCGCGTTGCCAACACATAAACCTGTAATTTTCGATGGCTATTCAGGGGCTTTAAATTGAAAAACAAGTGACTAGCATCCGAAAAAGTTGTCGTCAAAGCAACCAAAGGGAAAACTCAAATTATTGTTGATCCCAGGGGGATGAAGTATACGATTGTGGAATAAAAACCCGCACCCACGCAAAACACAGGAACAAGACAAATTCTTTCCTGAATCAAAGAAAAAATTTTCAAGTTCGAGAATAGTTCGTAAATGATGGACTGATATTGTTTGTTCACGCACTTCATCTCTTAGCCAAGGTGAAAAATCTTAACTTCAAGCAAGATTTACCAACTAAATGACCTTTCCATAAGTTTGGAACCACTCTTGCTTGCGTCCCAACGAAAATTTAGAACTTGAAATCAAGTAACGCATTCCCAACCACACCTAGGGATCACGACTTTTCAAGTTAAAATCTATACCACATGAAAAATTGATTGAAACGCTCCTCATATTGTTCGATCATTTCGTGCGAATGGACATGAGGTGTGACAAAAGCTAGCAGCGTCGGTCACTCAACAGGTTTTCATCTGAATCTCTCCCGACTTTAATCCTCGTATTTCCAATTTTGATAAATTGAGCTTCCTGGTAAATTTGAGCACCTGAGCCAAACATGGAATTGTCACCAAGAGGCTAACATTTTTTGCAGTTGAATGCGTCTGTCAAGAAAGCCTGTTTCAGTGACCCACCTCCTACACTCAGCAAAGATTCACAAGCCTCACACTTTGAGCAACTCAGGAGAAAATAAAATCGTGCAACAAAAGGCGTCCTCGTAGTTTCAAAACAGATTAACAACCAAAACAAGGGAAGCGGATCGGGTGACATGGATCATCACATTCAAAAAGTGGCACGTTTTGGCACAAAACCACGACATAGTAATTCAAGTACACAGAAATGTTCTTTTCCCACCGCTTCCTTTCTCCTCAAGGTCTGCCAAACAGGAGACCCATGGCTAAGACTGCTGCCAAAATGTGCACGCCTGGTCTGCTGCTGCCTGATCCTGTGCAGGGGCCAGTTTCCTGCAAAAACAACAAAACATTTTAATCATATACCAGAAGTACATTTTATTGACACATGTTGATACTTTAGAAGCTTAAGCCCCAGTAAACAGCGGATTCTAATTTATTCCGTTGACTTGTAAGAGAAAAGTTTTTGCCTTTGCCAAAATTTGTCCTCGGGTGCTTTTGTGGGAATTGGGTGTCTCCCTGACTCTCACAAACTCCTGAGAAAAATCTCCTCCAAGGTCATAAATTTCATCTTTAGTGAAACAAGAAATGTCCAAAGACAGTAATTCACAGGTGAGCCATCATCTAAAAGGCCATCTTGACCAGAACATTCTTTCAAGGATAGTTTCCCTGAAACCTTTTTTCAACTATTTTGACACAAGACCACCAAACTTTACCAAGTCAAGAACAATAAAGTGCTCAAAACCTTTGAAATTCAAATGAGTTTTCTCTTGGTTGACTCGTGCGTTCCAAAAAAATACCAACTTAACACCAGGGTGAAACTCACCCCAGTCACAGCCAGACTGATTACAGTGTTTTATTTCTAAATTCACATTCCTATAATTTATTTCCTGACAGCACACACTCACACTTGGATGCTCATTGTAGCAATGATGAATCCTTTTCCTGTATTGGTGCTTCCTCTGACACATGGGATGTCCACTTGCTGCTAAAAAAAAATTCAAAAACATCCTCAGAACAATCCATCACGCACAAGTGATTTAAAAAGCTATAGCGCATTTGCAAAACATGTAGATAAAATCCCGTGTAACAATTTACCTGTTTCCTTGATAAATTATACAAACACAAAAAAAAAAGAGTTCGAAAACACTTTGCACGTGATATCGCAGCGTAAAATTGACAAACCTGGTTTAGGTATCCAGTGTTCAACCCGAGGTTCCGCAGCTTCACATTCACACAAGGCTTCAGCAACGACAAGCACTAGCCTGCTGTTGGGCAGTTTCATGGCCTTCAGGCCCCTGGTGCAGTTCTCACAACCCACAGTCCAGCCACTTCCGTCCTCCTCCTCTCCCAACCCAATGTCCACCAAGTCCAACATGGAAGTACCTTCTTCCGGGTTCAACCAATAGCGCACTTCCCGCGTGATGCAAGAGTGTTCGTCGTCGTGCCTCACAGGGCCAGGGTCATCGTCAGAACGATCCATCGTGGCTGACTCAACGTCAGGGAACGTCCAGCTGTTCAAAATGAATAAATTAAATGTTCTATGGTTCACAGGAAAAACACACAGTTCGCCATCCTCAAGCAAAATTTTCCTTCTCATTACAACATCCTAAAAAAAAAAATTTGTTTTCACCTGTCAGAATAAGTCACATAAGTTCTGCAGGCAACCATCAGCAAATCATTGTACATGAGCAAAATATGAGACGTAAAGATACAAAAATCAAACAAACAATATACCTGTAAACTCCTAGTTTTAAAGAGTTCCAAAAGCCGACTGAGAAGAAGCCCTGGACGACGTTGAAAACCACTTCCACTGGGCTGATCAATTTCCAAGTAGCTCCAACAGCGTCAGTGCGCTTCGAACACTTGCCCTGGGCAAAAAATAAAATATGCATTTTCATTTCGAGATAAAAAAAAAAACGATGACGGAAGTTTTAATTTTCTGACAGCGTCATCCTCATCAATTATCAATAAATATATAATTTTTGAAACGCAGAACCTCTTCCAGTTACACTCAAACCTCCCTCTGTCGCATTTTTATCAAGTACTGTACTTGACAGAATTTCCCTTAAAAGAGAGCATTAAAAAGTTCCCTAACTCCAAGGCTTTCCCCTCAAACCTCCGTATCTTATATTTTTTGGAGACCTTTTGCCTATTATTTTATCGACACAGGAAAGAGAAACGCAATAAAAATATAACTTGATGAATTTTGAAAGGAAGTGAAAGACTTCTTCCGCTGGTCCCTTAAAGTTTGACTCGAAGAGTTTCGACCGCAGTAAATCATCAACCATACCCAAAATAAACCCAATCCTGTCCGGAGTGATGAAACAAGAATATTTCGGCATACCCACGCAAGGGCACAAAAAACTAGGGATCTTGACTTAAATTTCATAATATGCACACGTAAAAACCCGAAATGATTTCTTCCGGACAAATCTTCCTCCCGAGTGAAAGAAACACACCTGGTAGTCAAAAAATTCCTTGGAAAAGTAGACCTCGTACTCCAACAGTTTATGGAATCCAAGCGGATCAATTGTCCCATAAAATCCGCCCACTCGGATATTCGACCTATCCTGGTTGCTGGCTACGATCGATCCCGCGTCATCCAGCAAAAAACAATCCAACGGCCCGTTCTTTACACACGTGGAAACTTCATCCAAAGCATTGCCTCCACGGGATCCCGGTAAATTTGACGCCGCTTTCAGAAACACGTCTTGGATGAAATGATCCGCAAAATCCACTCCAACAACTGGGCGCGAAATAAGAAAAAAAAAGCATTAGCACGCGGAGAATTCATCAATCACTCGCATTTACACGAAAGTACAGTACTGTATAACGGCTTCAAGTCGAACTTCAAGGAGCCAGAAAAAAATTCGAGTCAGGGAAACAAGCATTTATGTTGGGGAAAATAAAGAATTACGAAGAATTTTAATATCAAGGGGATATCCTCGGCCTTAAATTGCTTCTTGAATAAAAAAATGAACGCGCTTTCGATACAATTCAAAGCGTGCATCTATTCAAATAAAAATAAAAACTCATAGAAAATCTTTCCCCAAATTAGGAACAACAGTATTTAAAAGCGATGTATCATTTATAATGAACAACTTCTATAGACAATTTAAATAGGCATCGGGGAACTTCTCCCAAAATCTGCGTTTCGATAAAATTCTCGCACATTCAAAATTAAACCAAAAATTTCTTCGTCGCCACCCACCAGCATACGGATACGTGATGGATCCTCTTTGGAAAGTGACGCCTTTAAAAAAAGTAATCGTCGACGGCTTCTTATTTCTCTTTCGCTCAATCTCATTCCCTTTGCCCGTCAAGTCCACAGACAAAAGCCCCTTATGCATGATTCCTCTCCACAAAAAGTCGTTCTTCGCCGGATCGGCAGCAACCCTCAAGTCCTCAGCGCGGCTGATGAAAAAAAAAAGGAAATAACGCACATTTGAGGAATATCCCACAATAACCAAAAAAGGATGTAAAAAATGCTCACTTGACAGGCGCGAATCTCGTCAGCCCGCCAACAGTCGAGATAAACTTCATGGCAATGGTGTCTTCGTTATTCGCCTTGTTGGTCCAAAACGAAGTGGCTAGCTTCTCCGTTTTGAGCAGATCAAACATGAGTTGCCTGGCAATCGGAGTCTCGCAGGGATTGTCATCAGCAGCAGAGCTTGCCACCAGTGTGCGCAGTGTTGCCAAATCTGTAGCAGTTCGCTGCGCATTCTGCAAACCAGATTCCGCCGTGCCGCAGTACTGCCACGGGGCCAGACGTACTCCAGTCTGTCCGTCGTTGCCCAGTTTCTTCAGCATTTCCTTCGGCGTGTATCCCTCCGTTATTTCCACCATTCGTGGGAAACCCAGGCTCACCAGAGCCAGTCTGCAAAAAATGATAAATGACGTAATCGTCAAAAACAGCTTTGAAAACATCATTCGAGAATAAATGCCATTTTCGTCGAACAACTTCTCGTCAACTCAATTGATTCTCACACTTGATTTAGCTAAATGATTACACCTTTCAAGTACTGTGGGGCCCCGAGATGCGGACGTAATTGGTGCTCGGACCCCGTCCCCATATAGAATCGCGCTTTCCCAGAGACTTCATTAGGAACATCTTTAATTCGTTCTCCTGTTCATCAAAAATAGCGAATAAAGTCCCCAAAAATGCATAATTTTTTCCCCTAAACTTGAAGATAGGGATGAGCAGAATCTGATCGTTTGGGAGCGCAAAAAGCAAATAAGTCTTGCTGTTATGCGCACGCCTGATGAAAAAACCAAAGAATCAGCCTGTTTTTGATTCTGAAGTGAAGTACTTTTAAAATAAAATTTATTTAAATTTTTGTGAATATGAATAGCTTCTTTTGCTCAAGGTATACCATATTAGAAAATAATATTATATTTTTCTAGAAATGCTGCAAAATGTCCGCATCTCGAGGCAGTGTCCGAATGTCAAGAGTTTTTTTTTTTTAAATTTTCAGTGTCTTTTCAAGTCGAATCAACCGTATTTCGGGGTCCCACTGTACAAGACAAGCGTTGAACAACGGGTGAGACACAGAAATTTTTAATAGATGAAAATCAGCCTCTCATTTCGGACAAAAACATCTCAACAATCGAAAAAAAAAATGACGCGAAGAAAAAATAATAAAGAAAAAAAAGAATGCTCACTTGTACGGAGACGGCTCCAAAGCAACATACGTGACGGAATAAGTGCCAGTCAGCAAGTATCGATCGCCTAGAGTCAGAGTCGAGTCAAGATGGTTCATAACAGCAGCAGCTCCAGCATTGATCAATTTTCGCCTCGCCGTCACCGTCCTCGTAGTTTCCCCGACGAACTGTAAAAAGTCCAAATTCGGCGGCTCCTGAAAAAAAAAAAATCATTTAAACACTGACTGGGACTGGAAACACGTGACATAGATTCAACCTGTTCCAAGGGCAGTTGTTCGGGCAAATTCGGATGATACACAACGATTCCGTTTTGGTCCACAGCAAAAAAGTAGTTCATAGCATTAATCTTTTGCGGAATCACGTTTTCCAGCAATTCCTGCCAAGGCACGTCGATGCCAACCACACCAACCAGTTCTTGTACTTCTTTTCCCTGGATAAATATCAATCAAACGCTCAGAAAACTCACACGAAATCAACAACATGAAGAAATACCGTGACAGGTGAGCGCAGTTCAAAAACAATTTCCGATTAGTCTACAGAAACGTAAATCCGCGAAGCTTCGAACACGACTAGCCCAGAAAACCCCAAAATCATCATTATCAAATAAATTTTCTTCGAACAGGCAGTTTTCCCCTTTCACATGGATTATTACAGGCACTCGCTGCTTTTCTCCCCGCTCACCTGTTCACGTCAGGCCAAATCGATAAATGATACTCACGTCATACTCAGTCGAGTTGTACACAGAGACGGTCATCGCAATCGCATACCCGAGACCCTGAAAACAAAACAAAAAGTCAGAAAATAGAATGAACAAGAGAACTCATGACCAGAAATAAATTAACACAGGAAAAACTACTAGAAACAAAAACAACAAACCTGAGAAATCTCCACCAAATAACCCCCAGAATCCCGCAGAGGCTATGAACGTAAACAGCAACTAACAAAGCGAAAACAAACGGATCTGAAACTAGGGTCAACTGGACAGTTTTTCACTGACGCCTGGGTCGCTAAACCCCGCAGTCCATGAAACATCTTCGGGAAAAGAGTTCGCTCTCGACATGGCCTTCGGACGACTCAGCACAGGCAAGTAGGAGTCCTGCAATCAAAGAAACAAACGGGAGTAATCAGGTCCTTAACGAATACTGTACAGTACTTTCATCTATTCAGATGAAAGACTAGATTCCATTTTTTTCTGAAAGCGTCATAAAATTATGGAAAAACGGGAAACTTCATCTAGATTAATCGCACTACGACTTGCTTACAGTATTCGATACTTAGAAGCTCCCTAACTCAAATGCCTCAACTTCTCGAACTTTTTCTAGTCCCTGTCTAAATTCCTTCCGAATCGATACATTAAAACCCAATCAAACCCGAAGACCTTCCCCTGAATAACTCGAATTTTCTGGAAGCTTTTCGGCAATAATTTCATTGAAACATGAAAAAAACGTAATATAAATATAACTAGATGCGATTTGAAAGGAAGAAAAGGACTGATTCGGAAAATTAATCTTCGCCTACAAGTTCAGCACTTTAACAACTCATTCAAGAAAACATTTAGGGCCCATAACATAAAAAAATACAATTTCCTGAAATTCTTATTATTGGGCAAGTTGCATTGATTTTCAGATTCGACCGTGAAAATTAAGACGCATGTCCTAAAACAGAAGGCGTCAAATATGCACTTGGATTCGGTAGAAACTAACACTTCTGTACCACACGATATGAAAGCATGATAATTTAAGAAACTTACGATGATCTTGGGACGGATAGCACTCATGCCATGCACGGCAGTGAAGAATCCCTGGGTTTCACAGGCCAAACGCTTGACAGGTACGATCGGGGTCGGATTGTTGCCCATGGCATAGGTGAAAAGACGGACTCCAATCTGGTTGCACTTCACAGCTGCCCTCTGTGGCCACTCGACTCCGCCATCGGTGAACAACATGACAGTCTTGTGACACTGAGCTCCTTCTTCCGACTGTCTAGAGTTTTGAAATTGACGAATGAGTTCGCACGAGAACTCCACAGCACGACCAAGGTCAGCCTGGCCAAACGTGGTCAAATTGTCGATTTCCTCGAACATGGCCCGTTTGTACGGGGTCGTGGCCGGAATTAAGGACTCGCCCCAACATCCGACTGTTTCCGGGGTCGCGGAAAACTTCACGACTCCGAAGTAGTCATCTTCCGTCAACGAATTCAGCAACATCTTTATGGCCAGCTTAGTTATCTGAAGAACGTGGCCTTGCATGCTCCCGCTCCTGCATTATAATGTATTACAAAAATTTCACATAAACGCGACACGTGGAAAAACGAGGAAGCATTCAATAACAGATTCCCAAGATTCTGGAAACAGATCAGAAGCTTACACATCAACCAGAATGACCACGTCCTTCGGCGAAGCAACGGTTCGCTCATAAAAGGTTTGCTTTCTCACGTCAAACATTTCGTGATTCCTTGTTTTCTTCGTCGGCCAACTGAAAACAAAATGAAATATTTTGTGAACGCTGAATAATCGTGAAAAATGCTTTGTCTCACTTAGAACCGGGGTATCGTCGGTAAACTCCGTCTTTACCGGCAAAATATTGCCATTTCAGGGATGGATCTTCGTCGAAGTTCTCCTTGAAAACCTCGTCCAAAGGTTTGGTCCACGCGACGACGTCCTTGACTCTCTTGTCATTAGCGTAAAGCTCAACCGGGAAGTGGATAGTTGAGAAATTCCTGCAGAATTGCTCTGATCCCGGCCAAGAACTAATATCGCAATCGATGTCATTCGTCAGATGCGGCGTTATCATCTTATTGTATTTGAGAGGTTTTTTGGACTTTTTGTTCGGACGGCGCTTGCCAGCACTTTGAGCGGCTTCTTCGGCTTGTTTGGCCAGATTCTGGTGCAGAATTACAAACTGTGAATCCAAAAAACGCACGATGGCACTGATCAAACGAATGATTCACCTCGAGCGATTTCAGACGCTTTCGAAAGATTTCCTTGGCGTTCGCGGCAACTTGGTTCATGACGAGAGCTTCGTCAACTCCACGAATCCAATTCTCTGACAATCCCAGATCCTTGAAAAAAAAAGAAGAACTTTCATAATTCTTCAGAAAAATCTGTTAATAGGTACGCTGGAGCTTACGGAATCCAAATAAGCAACACCGGTGGCTTCGTAGAAAACATGCTGGAGGTCGTTGTCAATCCCATCAGTCCACAGCTTCATCCTGTCAAATATCGATCAGTCAAAATATCGATACTTAATGACGCTGTGTAGCTATCACCCGCGATTCTTTCGTAATTTCGATGTGCGACTTACACTTCATCGTCGGGAAGAGCCGAAAGAACGCGATGCACGACTTCAAATGAAATTAAAGCCCAAACGAGAAGCATCTTCGCACTCTCCGCAAGCGATCACAATCAAAAATTCGGAGGAAACGGTGGCACGATTTTCCAGATAACCATGCACTTCGACGGTTTTTCGAGAAGCTTTACATGAAACCGTTGTTAAAATCACACCGTTCCATAAAATTAAGCATTTAGAGCACATTCAAGCTAACTAACACAAGGCATCAGATGGACTCTTCCAACAGTGCAGTAAACCAGTGTTGTTTACACATTTGAGTAAGATAATCCACGCAACAAAATGAGAAATAATGTTGTGCGAAACACACAGGATTACTTTCAACACTCCACGCATCAGCTTTAACTCACACTGTCAAGCTTATCTTCCACCAGAATTTTAATGTTTACAGCAGACGCACAGTAATTCACCTAGAGGTTGTCTTCTTCGCACATTAAACGTTCGATCAACTACGCCAAAACCATCAAGCTCTTAGCATGTAACGCGAAAACTGGAAATCCGAAAATAATTGTCATAAATACAAATGGGCCATATTCAGAGGGAGTTCAACTTTCTCATTCTCACATCAACACATGTGAACAAGACTTAAAGTCCATGGGTAAATTCACGAATTCATTCACTCCCTCACAGCACCACCATCGAGCACATGTTGGCGAAAGATGGGTGGATTGGATGTACAGCGTTTTGCTTTACAGTACATGCTTAGCAAATTTACAGTATGTTTCATGAACAGAATGAAGGATGCCTCATGCAGTGGACGAACACACACTGTAATTCTTTCAGGAGGTGTGTATTGTGCTCCAGATTGTTTGTTATAGGGACAAATGTCAGAAATGGCTTCCTACATTTTTTGTTTTTCATCTAGCACTGTACAATACAGTACTGGAGTTGCAGCTTTGAATCCAATGTTGGAGCTGATGTTCATTTTATCTGGATATTTCTCAGTGGCTGTGCTTTCCAAATTTAGTTTATTTGAGAACTCGGCAATTAATTCTTGTAAACTTCAATTTTGCATGACTTGACAATTATTGATTCAAAATTTATACTATAGTATCTGTATATCCTATAATATGTTCATAAGCAACACAGATCATTCCATAAGGAACTTTTCAAACTTTCAGTAAGGAATGCAACCACTGCATTCATTCCGATGAAAACTTCAGTGTGCCCTGAGCTTAATACCCGTTAGCAGCACAGGTAGAATCTCTCTACAACGATTTTTTCTGTGCAAGTATAACAAAATGTTTTTCAGCCTAATAGAGGTTTCATGAGCCCGCGTTTTCCACCAAAAGAATGTTTCTGGTCGAAATTTTGTTGCGGAGAGGATCCACCTGAATTAACAACACTACGTCCTTTTTCTTCATCAGAAAAATCGGAATACCATCACCGTCAACAATGAATAATTTAATCAGCGCAAAAAAAAGTGAAGAGAGCATTTTTCTTTTCAAGTAAACCACTCGTCAAAACAAAAAGTTGTCATCACAGAAGCAAAGCAGAAACAACACAACAACCATGATCAAGCCTCAGAAACCCGAATAATTTTGAGTTCTTTCAACCGTTCCACACTCGAGTTGAGGAACCCTTGGAATTCTTTGTTCGACACCGGCGCCACAGACTCCGGCAACCCTGCTGCAACGTGCCCGAAAATTTTGCACTGTTCCCCGTAAAAGTTAATTTGCGCCAAAGCGTGCGCCTGCAAAATCGGCTGGAAATACTTGAGTCGCAGGTCAAACAGGCCTCGGAGTTCCTCCACCAAAACTCTTTCGCTGTCGACAAACTCAGCCTCCAGCATTTGCTTCTGCTGCGCGACTTGCGGGATTTTCCACTTTTTCTGCAAATTCGATCCCGGTTTCCGCAGCTTTTCCAGCTTCTCCGACAGTTTCATGATTGCGCTGATTTGTTCGTCCCTGGCTTTCAGCCTTTCGTTCACGGCTGTGAAAACTTTCTGGAACTTATTCAGGGGCTCTATCACGGTTTCCTTAGCAAGCTTATCCAAGTCATTCGCTTCTCTCACAGCCTGACGAAAAATCAACACATTACAAGAATATCAAGGGTGGACCATAACATTTCGAAAGCTGAAATGAAGTTGTGCTCAATTCAACTACGTACTTCGATTTGCACAAACTTTGACGCAAGTTCACCCAAAAAAAATTCAAAATCTAAGAAATCAGAAAATTTTGGCTTGAAGAAACGCTAGCTTCGCAAGCTTTCGAAAAATGCGTCATATTCAATCACAATACAGAACTAAATTTCATGATTATTTATAGATCCTTATAATCCAAAATTTGTTTCAAGCAATGACATCTACCCACACTGAAGTAACTGGCCTCTGCAACAAGACAAGGGTTTCTACATTGAGCAGTAAGTTCATTTTGTTTTTTTTTCGTGACCACCCTAAACATTTTCAGATTTTTTTCTTTCGGCTGAAATATTCTCTCTTGAAAGATTCTCGAAAGCTGACCTGGTTGGCAATTGATTGATGTCCACTAAGAACTTCTTTTACAGGTTCTCCATCTCGAACAACTCCTCCGGTGTTGAAATCGCTCAACAGCCGCACCTCCATAGCAGACAACGTCTTCAAACTCTTGCCATACTTTTTCCCGTCTTCCAAAAGCTTCCTCGAAGCTTTCTGACAACTGAAAGAAAAACCACTCAAAATCATCTCGCATTTAAATTTCAGTAAACGAACAAAGGGGGTTTATTAAAATTAATCTCCAATGAAGGCTTGATATAAAAATTTTGACGCAAGAATTTTGAAATTTTGTCAAAACGCCCGAGGCTGACGTACACGAAATCCCGGGTGGGTACTCACGCCTGAAACTTGCCGACAATTTCTGCGATTTCCAAATGCCCGGCATATTGCAAATGCTGCGGTGGTAACGAAGGAGTGGTTAGGGACTCTTTCAAAAGCCGACTGCAAAAAAAAAAGAAGAAAAAATGAATAAATTGAGCGAATGGAAAACCCGAAAGAATTATGGAACTCACTTCAATAAATCCATTCCCCGCAGCCCAACCACATTTTGTCCCTGCAACCAGACCCAAACACACGTGAAAACACGGAACAAATCAAAACATGAAGCAAATCTTGAGAAAATGAGGAAACAACCAACTTTTTTTTTCCGGTCAGATAAATCTTTAAAAATCCTCAACCTTCCGAGAGAACAATAAAAGCAGGAGTGAAAAAGTATGAATCCTCACAAAAATCTTTGAATCAGCTCCTCAAGGCTTTTTTCCATGAGATTCACTCACCGAAATTGACATTCATAACCAACTGAAAGAGACAAATAAAAACAGCAAAACAGATCTATCGCCAATACCTGGTACATCTGGTAACACTATGCTAACATTCCCAATATCTTACACACCGTGAAAAAAAGTGAGGCATATTCCACTCTATACTATTTCAACCTCGATCATCAAGTTGCACATTCAAACTGAAAAAAGCTGATTTTCATTTTCTTGTTCGACCTTTGGACGGATAAATTCCACAGTTCCTCACACTTCAGTTCCATCGTAACGCAAGTTTCAAATGCCATCATCCATATGTGACTAGGAAAAAAACAAATCAAAGCAGTGACAATATTCGTGCTGCTGAATAAAGAAATGCCCGCTAGAATACTTTTGGTCCCCCCCGCCCCCTCTCCTTCGACTCCATGTCTTTCTTCACACACGATAGACACGTTTTGAACTAGACTTTTCAGCAGGAGTGGAATCAAATCGCTTCAGCTCTTCTTTGATAGCCTTGATGACTGGCACAGCTGGGTCATTCATGCGCAAACCGGAGTCTGGGTCAATCGGCTCGTAGTTCCTCAGCCCGTCTCCCATCATCATCTCAGGGCTTGGGGGTGGGGCATTTGAACGGCCACGCACAAACTGACCCGATGATGCTTGCACATCAACATCAAACCTGAAAACCCAAAAATTTAGAGCAGTGTGAAGAAAAAAAAAAAGAGGAACATCACCAGAAACACCTCACAATCAAACTTTTTTCTCATTCCTTTCTCAAAATTGAGAGGAAAAATGAGGTTGCACCTCATTGCGAATCTTACTTGGGGATAGGGCTTTATCACTATTTTAGGCTGAAAAATCCTATTGCGCGTCTTGTATGAAAGCATGCGGTACTCGAGTAAATATAGTACAGTACTTATTTCTCCACACTCATAACTTCCACCTTTAAAAGGAAAAAAAATAATCGCTGCAAAATTAGCGAAGTACCACCCATTTCACAAATTATTTCCTCAACTGCATCCTGTGGTTTTTGAAAATTAGATTCCGCAATTGAAATGTTTTGTATTTTACCTGGGATCAGTTCCCCAAGCTGGTTTTGGCGGCACAGTGAGAGTCAACACGTTCCCATCAGCCACAGTTGAGCCAGATTTCAGCAGGGCAGATATTGGTCTCGCCTTTTCCGGCCTGTCAAAATTTGCCCTGCAATAAAGGCAGATAACGTTCAAATCCATACACATGAGTTGATTTAGTGATATCATTCGTTGCTGTTGTACTTCGGGGCATTATATCAGAGGAAGATTATTCGAGGACCTAAAAGAAACAGGTAAAATAAACTTGTTTGCAGAATTATCAGGCCATTCAGTCACTTTTATAAGAGAGAAAGCCACAATAAATAATTTGAAGCTCAAATAAATTGTTTTTATACCAACATTCAATTTATTTCATAAGACAGAATATATTAGAATTTTGCAAATCTTGTGTCAAATAAAAGAACTAGGAGGCTGTTTCTTAAAGTTTGGCATAAAACTTCAAATGAAAGCACACATGATTAGTTCAAGTAATTTTTAATTTTCTTTTAAAGAGACTATCCCAGTTAAAAAGATGCTCTTCATTGTGGTAGACATCCAAACAATACTGTACCACACAAATACCAGTAAATTTTAGAAATAGAATTTTCAAAATGATTCTGAAAAGGGGCATGTGTTTCTCATTGATAAACTAAGGATACTCAGAAGAAAAAACATTTATTTCTTTGCTTTTGGGCCCATGTATCATCATTCAGGACTAGTAAGTTTTTTTGCGGCATCAAGCTTTAATTTGAGGTTTCCTCCAAAAACAAAGTCGAGAGGGATTTGTTCCAGAGACATTTTCGCACTAAACCGACGGTTGACTGCAGTTTTTCAACTTCAATAAATGCATCTGCTCATAGGTATTTCAACAAATGTACCTCGAGTCAGCTGCGCTTCTCGCTCTTTTCTCCGGCAACGGCGGAGGCAAGTCCCCAGAGTTAACCTCCACCTTGGCCATCACCAGGTCTTCATTTCCAAACGCTCTAAACGCATCATCCAACATGTCGTGAAAACGCTGTCTCATTTTCAAAATACCCTCTTCGCCGTCCTCTTCCGTCACCACGTGCACTTTACTGTCTCCCACGCAAACGTCTCTGGCATCCGGCACAATTTGCAAACCCCGGTCCGTCACTGGCTTCACTGCAGTCGTCGACGACGAAGGGACGTCCGAAATGATGGCTCCACGATAGCTGCTCTTAGGCCGTTCCGGCGGCTTTGATCGATTCCTCACTGACGCCACATCCGCATCCACTGAATCTTCCTCGCTGGCGACGTTCCTGGGTAAGGCGGCGATACGTTTTGATCTCGGGGGTACCTTGGGACGTTTCTCTTCGCTGGTTGAAGATATCAGCACTTCCACGGAGTCAGTGGACTGGCGTGTCGGAGAAGTTAATTTCTGCCAGGTGAAAAAAAAAACTTTCTCTTCGTCCCGAAGATAGACTGGCTACCGTGTTTATGAACAAAACATTCTAAATAAAAAATTTTGTGACGAGAAACGGGGATTCTCAAATGATGAAACCGTATCTCAAAAATCGAGAGGAAAACAGGCAAAGTTCAAATTCAATTTTTTTTTACTAGTTTAGGTGCGCGTCAAACTGAAATTTTGGACAGGAGCTTTGTAAAAATCAAAACTAACCAAAATTAATTGAATTCAGGCTGAATTCAATTCAAGATTTGGATTCTCGTGTCCTATTTTTGAAACATTGTAGTTTTCCAATCAGTAAAAATGAGGTAGGCTTCTTAGGAAAGGACTGTGTTAATGAGTCCGTAACATTATTCAGAAATAGCCAAGCAAGAAATCCAGAGCTTCGTTTATTAAATTTGAAATAAAAGTTGTTATCCAAAAACTATTTTTAAGAAGTGAGGAATCAACGATGATCAGTCGTTGAAGACTACTTCTAACAATTAATGGAAAAGGGGATCGGAGATTTAAACCGTTTTCCGCAACTTTCGGAGGAAACGCAAAAGTTACTCCGTGAGAGTATTTTCAAAGTAGTATTTATTATATCTTCACACACAGTCAATACAATACAATTCTACAGAGCAAAGCAGCGTAGAGTCGGCGTTTGGACAAGGTCTGGTGCGATCAACTTAAAGCAACATAAAATGCACCTGTTTATATAGCCTTGGCCGGCCGTGGACACGGGATACGCGTAAAGTGAAGGGTGTTGTGGTCGTTAATATGACTACAAATCTCCCCTGGTAAACGAGAAAAAGCTCCTGCGTACCAAGTTTTCTCAAAGTGTTTCAGTCAGCGGGAAAAAGGATCAAATTTTTGTTCGATTCCCACACCTCCCCTGATCACGTCTCAGCAATGCTGAAAGACATTACACAGGAAAACGTTCTCATGGGGGAGCAATTCTCCCCTGGTAAATGAGAAAAAGCTCCTGCGTACCAAGTTTCTCAAAGTGTTTCAGTCAGCGGGAAAAAGGATCAAATTTTTGTTTGATTCCCACACCTCCCCTGATCACGTCTCAGCAATGCTGAAAGACATTACACAGGAAAACGTTCTCATGGGGGAGCAAGAATAGTGGTAATAATAACCACACATGCCTCCCCCAACTCCTTCAGGTTCACCAGGAAGCTGCAGAGGTCTGGCATTGCAATGCCTGTACCTCAGTTCACCTTGCACCCCCTTGCAGGTATGTGCTCTTGACCCCCTTAAGCCCTATTGTAAAATCCACTTTGTCAAATTTTCATTTAATTTGAGTGTTTCTTTGCTTGGTCTTTGTTAAAAGTAACTTAATTTCCCATTCCAAGTGTTTTTGGGTGAATTTGGTTCGTTTTTAACGGTGAATTTGCATTTTTCGGCCGCGGATTTTGTTTGCGAGATGCGTCGTAACGATAGATTTTTACACGAAGCGCGATCAAAAATGAAAAAACTAAACAGTTTGTTCGGTTCTAGGGCGTATAAAGAAGATTTCCTGCAAGTTTTGTTCAGTTTCACCGTTCGGTTTGCGAGTTCTCAGCAAAAAGGTGAATTCCCTTAGGACTGTTAACAAAGTAGGATCAGATCTGATCTCAGTGCATCTTTACAAAATTTCAGTAACAAGAACAAGAATGGCGGTATTTGTGGTTGCTGTGTTGCTGTTGGTGCTTGTGGGATATCCAGATGCATCATTCGGCAGGTGTGTCGTCAAAGATGGCCGCCTCCACTGCTCAGAGGCGTGTGACTTGGACGCGGTTTGTGCGGCCGAGTTTGATGGTAGAATCGTCCTGACGGGCCAGGTTCTTGACTTTGGGTGCTTGGATTTCTTCAGAATCAAGGTTGGTTGAAGAAGAACTGGCTTTTTCAGGTGATTTCTTTCACTCTGTTGTGATTTTCAGAAAGTGGAGCTATTGGGTCCCACTAGATGTGAAGGCATCTTTCGTGCTTCGTTGGTTGATCCGGCGGAGTTTTGCGTGAACAAGCAGACCACGGCAGGGTTGCCATCTTTTGGGACACAATCAGCCCCCGTGTTGGAATCATCGACGGTGGTTCTGGTGGCAACTGCGGTGCTGATGATGACTACAGCTGTTCTGATCACTTTGGCGACGGAGGCGACATCTGTTGTCACCCGTGGTGATATTGTCGGCATGCAGGATCCTGCTACGGCTTCATCTGCAGATTTGCGGGTGCTGTCGATGGACTTGTTGGCTGGAACAACAAAACGTACTACGCCGGCTCCTAGTAAGAGCTTTTTAATGAATAGCCTCAACCATTAGATCAGGATATTAAACAAAATATGTTGTTTCTAGTTACAACCAAGCCTTCCATCATTGTTTCGGTGCTGAAAAATCTTCCGGAGACCAAGATCCTTACTGGAGATCGGGCCAACATCACGGTAACGGTGGTTGAGGGGAAAGCAGTTTTGGGGGCAGAATTTGCCACTGAATTATTTTCCAACTGGGCCATTGGGCTGATTAGTGGCCTTGGCATAACGGTCTTTGGGCTGGCTACTGGGTGGATTGCCTGGTGCTTAAGGAAAAAGGTACTTTTACTTTTTATTGCACCTTTGTTATCCATAAACACATTTTTGCATGGTTTCTTCCTTTTAACCAACCCTTAACTACTAACAGTACTGCCCAAAACCTCGTCAGAATAAAACCGTAACTAAACCCAAACAAAAAGTTGAAGAAATTGAGATGAAAGATTTATCTCTCAGCCCAATAGTGGTGCGTGAAACTGCTGTTAATGAAATTCAGGATGGATTTGCAACCATTAGATCACGCATACCTTGCATGACATCCTTTAAACCAAGTAAGACTTAGCTGGGAGGGAAAAAACCCCTTGTTGCATGATTGCATGTCTCCTTGGGTGTTTCTTTTTGCTTCTCTTCTCCAGCCTTCGTTGCTGCTGTTCCTGAGGAGGGCGGAGGAGTTATGGCGAATCCTGACACCACCGACAACTCCAACATTGTCCCCTTTACCACTGCAATTGTCGGTTGATGTTGTGTCTGACCTCATTTCATTGGACAAGGTTCCAGAGATTCTTCCACCTCCCATCGGTTTTCTTTCTGAGTTGGAACCTGTCGTTGAAGAAGCTCAAAATTCCGCGGTTAATGTCAGTTCTGATGACTTTGTTTCAGTCAATGAGGAATAGGCGTGTAACCTGTTAAGAACTGATGAATAAATGAGCTTTGTACAGAGAGAGATCTGGTTTTTAAATTCTTTCAGCTTGTACTCAGGGAAAGGATTCCAGTAGACGGATTCATCTGGATTCTGGGGTATTTTGGTGTGGGTCAGGATGGGATAGATTCAGCAACCAGTTCGACACGCGCCGACATGTCATTCAAATCTATTGCTTCTAAACGCCTTCTTCTCTGTAAAACATACCGTATTCTCGCTAAACAAAAATATACAATCGCGATAAGAATTATTGTTAGTAGAATAATTAAAACAATGAGATAAATATAACCATTATCCCGAAAATGTAGTTGCAATTCACTAATGTCCTCAATAATTGATTTAATTCCTGGGACATTAGTTAAAGTCCTCAATAATTGATTTAATTCCTGGGACATTAGCCGGGATTTCATTAATTGCATTTATCTCAATGTTTTCTAACCTGGGGGTCATTTCACGAAATGGCCCATTAATCACAGTGTAACGACAATTAGGTCTAAATTGGATAATACCTGAATAAGGCAACTCATAAGTATTTTCAGATGCCTGTGCGTTAACCTCGGAACAATATTGCGTGATTTGCCCTTTGTCGGAATCTATAAAGGCAAATTTGTCTGCGTCTAGTTGAATAACTGTATTTTCCTGTACTCTAGTTTCAATTAAGGGACCTTTGCTTTTGATTGTAGACTCTAGATCTCCGTTTTGAATTGATTTAACGCAATCATTTGCTTCGTAAACAGGAGGTCTAGGAAATTTGCAAAGTTTGCACAACGCATGGCCGTATTGCGGTAAACATAAGGGTAATTCACTTGCTTGTAAAGCAAACATTTTAGCACCTTGTGTAAGCAAGTAAGGTTCTGACAAGTTTACCTTATGCCACTTGGGCGCTCCCATATACGTATCTTCCGCAATCGGCACACTATGAACCTTAAACAAATCTAATATTTCTGGTTGCCTGATTACTGGTACAATTGTTGTTATCCTGTAATGACAGGTTTCACTTGTTCCACACCCGTCCATTGCTCCAATAGTCAATGGATGAGATTTAATTAGTGTTAATAATTCCTGCACCGGCAATACATAAATTGGTGGCTTATTCTCAGCCTCCAACACTTTATTCAGCGCAGAGTTCACGTATTCATCATAATACAAGAAATTGGGGAAATGGAAATTATGTATCTGATCAATATCCTGTAGTAAGGATGATATAACCTTCTTCGCTTGATCTAATTCTAGACCCAAACTTAACGTTAGGAACCAAGAATTGGTAGAATTGAATTTTGCTTGCTCCACTCTGGATGCTAAACTGATGCTATTTTTAAAAACTTTGTTTGTCTGTACTACGTATTTCAAAGAAGTCAACAACTGTACCCTTTTCTCTTGTGCGACGGTCCCTTCTATTTCTTTCTGCCTTCTTTGCAGTATTGGAAGTAATCCAGTAAATGTTGCATCTCTAGGAAAATTTCTAGGTTCAGTATTGATTCTATGTTTCAGATTTTTAACTCTATTGTTCAAATCAGTATTTTTAGCTTTCAGCAGGCTATACAAAGCACTATCAATTGTTTCGTCAAGTGGAGCCTCTTTTTTGATATGATTAAAAACTTTAGTTGTGATGATATCAGACTGTCTTACCAATTCTCCAACGTCTATCGAGGCTTCTAACGTCCAATAACTGTTAGGTACACAAATTGGATACATTTCTTCCAATACAATTCCAACGCTACCTGGAAAGTTGCGTATGGGGGACGTTTTATCAAATCTATTTAAATTCGATGACGTACCTTTGTCATTGATGGGGATCTCCTTAATTGTGAGGGAATACGAAACGTCCAGAAAAAATATACAAATATATATTCTCACAATTTTTCTATACATTTCCATAAGTTTTCTATACACTTCCATAATTTTGTGTTATTGGAACGATGTTTATTTCTTGCCGGTCAACTGCGTACTGCTGTTGTGCGGTTCTCTTCACTCTTTTGGTGACTGTCTTTTTTCTAGCTTGCTTGGCCTCGACTAGCTCGACCATGCATGCTTGTTGCCTTGTCAGAGGTCATTGCCATGATGTTTTTGTTTCTTTCTTTGGCCTTGTTCTGGTTGGCAACACATTGTCCGGGTCCAAATGACATAGAGAGGGACGATCCATTGGGTTGGATTCTAATTTTCTCTTTCCCTTATCGTCCTTCTGTTTTTTCATTTCTCCTACGTTATCTTCTTCCTCTGCTGCTTCACCTTCCTCTTCTTCCTCTTTAGACTGAGTGGATGCCCTTCTATCATTTTTCTTGCTGTCTCTCTTTTCTCTGAATCTTTTCCACTTTTCTTTATTTCTTATCTGTCTCGGAGTTAGGGTAACTGCACCTGCTGTTTCTTCTTGTAACGTTCTCTCGGGTGTTTGTTCAGGAGTTTCGTCATCTCTTTTTGTAAGCTGTTTCATCAACTCTGGCGTGCTTGAGGCAGGTGGATGGCCTTGTTGAAGGACAGTCTCGGATAGACTGGGGAGAGTATCCGCTGTGGCGTCGAAAAATCTTCCTATTTCATCAGTGACTTCTCCGAATATTTCTTTAGTCTTTTGGAATAGTCCAGTTTTTCTTTCTGGAGATGCGGGTATTACTGTTGCGTCTAGATCTGGCACTGATACGAAAGAATCTTCCTGTTCAGACTGGGAAGCAGATGAGTCCTGCTTTTCTCAGGACTCTTTCTGTTTCTTTAAAATGGATTTCACTGCCTGTTTATCCACTGGGTGTTTGTGGATTTTGGAGCCCAAAGTTTTCCTCCGGTGTTCTCCTCCAGTTGTGGTTGTCGGTAAGGCAGTTTCTTCCTTGTCAGTCTCCCACTGCAGTTCTTTGGAACTCTGTGGACCTTCCCATTTCCATTTTGGGGCTCTGTCCATTTGGTCATCATCCATAACTTCTAGGATGTCCTTTTCTTCAGAAGGTGTCGGCGAGGGAACTGGTGAAGACCGTCGTATCTTATACGGTTGTACGTAACTGATGTGA